TTCGAACAGAGCTCAGCACTGCCTTCGACACCGTCTTGGTGTCTGTAGACGAGTACGATGGCCTGAGTGTCGGCATGAATGTGATGGTCTCTCTTGTCAAGCACGACGATCACCGTCGTCGTGCTGCTGCGGCCCTCCATCTGACCAAGTTCTTCGCGGAAGCCGACCTCGACTTCTCGAGGTACTACCAGGACTTGATCCGCGCCTTGCTGATTTCATTCGATGACCCAGATAAGGATGTCGTCAAGGCGGCATGGACCGCCCTCACTGGTCTCATGTCTCACATGCGTAAGGAAGAGATGGAGAGCTTGGCTATTCCCACCCGCCAGATTCTGCGCCAGGTTGGTGTGGCTGGCGCAGACCTACCCGGCTTCAGTCTGCCCAAGGGCATCATGGCTATCTTGCCGATCTTCTTGCAAGGTCTTCTCAACGGTACTACCGATCAGCGTACCCAGTCGGCTCTTGCGATGTCGGATATCATTGACCGGACTCGTGCCGAGTCATTGAAGCCTTTCGTGACTCAGATCACCGGTCCGCTTATTCGTGTTGTGTCAGAACGTTCAGTCGATATCAAGTGTAAGTCATGCAAAGCCAAGGCTTATGTGGTATCTGTTTACTGATTAATTTTTCCAGGCGCTATCTTCTATACTCTTAACAAGCTGCTGGAGAAGATCCCGTTGGCTGTCAAGCCGTTCCTGCCCCAGCTCCAGCGTACATTCGCCCGTGGTCTGGCCGATACCACAAGCGAGACTCTGCGCAACCGGGCTGCCAAGGGTCTTGGTATTTTGATTACGCTGACCCCCAGAGTTGATCCTCTTATTGCTGGTAAGTCTCGGAAAGTTTTATACATGAAACGTAGCCCATCGCTAACTTTGATATTTAAGAACTTATTGCTGGATCGAAGACCTCCGACATTGGCGTGAAGAACGCGATGATGAAGGCTCTACAGGAGGTGGTTGGTAAGGCCGGTGCCAACATGAGCGAGGCATCCCGGCAAGCGATCCTTGCTCTGATTGATGATGATGCTAGCGACCAGACTGGTAAGATCGTTATCAACGATTCCTGTGTTTTGCAGCTTTCTAACATCCTCACAGATTCCGTTGCCATTACCAACGCTCGTCTGCTCGCTGCTCTTGTGAAGGTCCTCCCTACCGCAAACTCGGTTCCTCTTATCAAGTATGCATATTCGTCGTGGTTTGATTTTGCTGGATGCTAACATATTTCCTCGTAGGAACCGTATTCTTGCTGGCTCCCTTTCTCATGCAGCGATCCTCGGACTCAATGCTCTTTTGGCTGAATGCGCCGAGGTTCTGACAGAACAATTCTCTGTGGAGCTGCCCACCGTCATCTGCCAAGGTCTTGCAAACAAGGATGTAAGTTGAAAGCTAAACCACCCATTACTGCTCGAAACTAACTCGGAAACAGCCCTTCATCTCCGATAACAGCGCTCTTGCTGCAGGCAAATACCTTTTGTCCAATGATGGCGACCATTCTTTCGAGTCAAGCAAGACTATCTTTGAGGCGTTGGCATCTGCCATCCAGGTCGGCAACCCGGTCGACACCCGGCGGTTGAGCTTGGTAGCCATCCGGACTGTCAGTCGTCTTCACCCCGAGCTGGCCCGTCCTCATCTGGCTCTGCTCGCACCACCCATCTTCGCTAGTGTCCGTGATCTGGTGATTCCTGTCAAGCTGGCAGCTGAAGCAGCATTCTTGTCTATCTTCTCCGTGGTCGAGTCTGACAGCGAGGTGTTTGACAAGTATATGGCCGGTCCGGGTGCATCTCTCCCACCAGGCCCCAAGCGCAGCATGTCTGATTACTTCAAGCGCATTGCTGTTCGTTTGGCTAACCAGGCGCGTGAGCGTCGGGAGGCTGAAGGTGGTGTGGGTGGCTTGGGATTGTCGAATGATGAGCTAGATGATGAGAAGGAATTGTGGAGCATTGGCAAGGTTGATCTCGGAGAGGCCTTTGGCGATGAGTGATGATTTTGTTTGCGCATCCAAGGAGCATCTAGATGCTTATAGATATACCCTTGGGTTTTATTTGTTTAGTCGTACAAAAGTATTGCATATGTTTGTGTATATTGTGTATTACATCGTTTTATATAAATAGGCAGCCATCTACGAGGACTGCTTTATACTGTAGATCACCTTTTCCTAAATGGGAATATCAGATCATGTGACACTGCTTGTCTTTGACGTCACGTGATGGTGTTCGTATTTGGTCGTCTACAACGAAAGCCATGACAAACAGCTAAAGAGGAAAAAAGAACTAAAATTAAATTGCAATTCTCTTAATCTCCCAGCATCTTTATCCTAGCATTTCCCAGTGTAAGTACTCTTGGCTTCTTCCCCGGACTGCAAGATCTTCAAGTTCCATCGTCTCGATTCGGACTAGCGCTAGGGCATACACCCTGGAGCGCTCCGCCTGTTGTGGAAGGAGCACTCGCTTAGCCCTCGGCTGACCTAATGTGGCCCGCAGTGCCCTCTCAAACTCTCACCGTCGGGATTTCTCAGTGCCACGAACATCATCCGCCAACGACCGTCGATACGCCGACATCAAGATGTGAGTTCATCTCCAAGCTGCTATTGAACTTCTCGAATGCACTCCCGTGTGCTGTGGAAATTCATGCCCAACACCCAACTCGTGGACCCGATATTTTTCGTTATAGTGGAGGAACAACTTGGTGATGTGTGTGCCATGATGCTGACCGGGTCTTTCACCACAGGGTCAACCTTACCACCCAGAAGCGCCTCGCCGCCTCCGTGGTCGGCTGCGGCAAGCGCAAGATTTGGCTCGACCCCAATGAGATGAACGAGATCTCCAACGCCAACTCTCGCCAGACCGTCCGCAAGCTCGTCGCTGATGGCCTCATCATCCGCAAGCCCGTCACCATGCACTCCCGTGCCAGCGCCCGTGAGCTCAACGAGGCTCGCCGCAACGGCCGTCACCGTGGTCTCGGAAAGCGCAAGGGTACCAAGGATGCCCGTATGCCCAGGTATGCACACCAACTTTTTGTCTCCGTCCGGCCTGTCTCGGACTCGCTCGATGAAATTGGACCTCGGGGCACAGTTGCTGATCTCGTTTTCCTCTGTTTAGCCAGGTCCTCTGGATGCGCCGCATGCGTGTTCTCCGTCGTCTGCTCGTCCGCTACCGCGCCGCCGGCAAGATCGATAAGCACCTTTACCACGAGCTCTACCACCTGAGCAAGGGTAACACCTTCAAGCACAAGCGTGCCCTCGTTGAGCACGTAAGTTACAACCCGAATCAACCCCACGGATAACGATCGAATATGGAACATAGACCCATGAAACCCCCATGAAATACGCAAATCAGAAAACACCCAGGCTAACTCGTTCTCTCTTTTCACCACTACAGATCCAGAAGGCCAAGGCTGAGCGCGCGCGCGACCGTGTCCTCAAGGAGGAGATGGACGCTAAGCGTGCCAAGAACAAGGCTCTCCGTGAGCGCCGGTTGGAGCGCAAGGAGGCTAAGCACAACGCTCTGATCAGCGAAGAGTAAATCTGATACAAAAATTCAATTACCCTTCCGTTGTTTGACGCTTTTCTTGCAATTCGGCGGTCCGGAGGTTGGAAACGGTTAACTTCTGGGTTGGATTCGGGATTCGAGGCTGTTCCCGATATCGAACTCAGGTCGGCCTTCGGCGTCTTCCTATTAGTCTAGATTCTGTTACGACTTTCTCTCCTTCCCTTGTTTTCTCTGATAGCATGGGGTTCGTGGCCTTGTTGGATCTTTCGGAAAATATGGGGTATGGGAAATAGGAAGATGCGATGATGATGTGATACTCAAGCTATTCTTGTTAAAATGTAACGAGAAAGCAAAAGGAAATCTTTTTTTACTTCACCAAAAAACACAACAAAAACCGCACTCTTGTTCCCGGTCCATATCTTCTGCCCTTGGTATAAACCTGATGTGGGGAAGCATATTTCTTCCCTCTATAAGCCCATCATAACCCCGGTATCCTATTATTAGTGGTCTTGCTCATAGATTCCCTCTGGGTTTTCCGGCTCATGGTGACCAGGTCTACGTCACTGACCAGTCTTGGAGTTTCATGGATGTCTGTATTTCGTACTCTTATGCAGACTTTATCTCAATTATTCCTACAATGCTTGTCTCCTTGGCAACTACAGCCTGAATCAAAGACCTTCAATGTAATTTATGGGTCTTGTGGCTACGCCACTGCTATTCTGGGGATTTGATCTAAAATGGCCTACCCACTCACTTCTAGACTTAACAGACCCTCAACCCACAATATTGGCATAGATATGAGAAGAAGGCTTGGTTTTCTTAACCTCGTTTGGAATATGTGCCAGATAATTAAGTCAAACATTAAAGGTCTAACTGGATTTGTGCCGAATGACATTCCCGCTGAATATATATCTTTATCACACAACCCCATAATCTCCCAAGTATAAAACCTTACTAACAGCCAAATATCAGCGTAGAACAAAAGCACAGCATATATCGATAGCCTTGGAGTAGCGCTAGCGTTCAAATACATCTAAAACATATTAATAACCCCAAATAGACAACAATTATATCTCGAGAGTGGTGTCATCCGAACTTTGCAAATGCAGGATTAGACGCGTGTCTCAGGTCATATATTATACACAATAATGGAATGGAAATGAGAGCATGGTGAAAATATGTCAATATATTTTGACAATAGAGATGAAATTTGAGTCCCTCCTCTCTTTAAATCGTACATATCAATATAACCCCAATGAACATCCCAGACCTTAACACCAGACTCAAGATAAGATGTAAATGCACCCAAGAGGAACCCTAGTGAATGCGAAAAAAAAAAGAAAAAGAAAACATGCAGGCATAGCATTCGTAAAATCTTGTCATCATAAACCAAAGTAAAGCCAGAAAAAGCAAGGGGATCAGCATAAGCGTATAATATATGCAGGAAGCAAAGCCCAAACCAAAAGAAAACCACGAAGAAAAGTAAAAAAAAACATAAAAAGGAGTTCGCAATCTAAAACTTGACACCCCATGTAGTCGGGATCGAAGGAACAGAAGACCGACGGTGGTGAGCATTTTGCGGAGGCTCAAGGTCAAGATCGAAGGGGTCACTACGCATGCTATCACGCATCATAGGCGTATCCAAATATCCATGCGGTACAGCGAGAGTATCCGCGCCGTCGCGCTCGCAGTCCCAGTACCCCTGCCCACCTCGCCCGGCGCCCCGGGAAGAAGTGGAGTAGATCGAGACCGAGCGAGATGGGGCTGAGACCTGGATGACTGCGGACGGCGGGTCCGCGAAGGGATCCTGTGTTCTCCCCTCGCCGCGCAGGTACATACTGTCCAGGGATAGATCTGGATTCGAGGGCTGCTGTTGCAGCGGGATGACCGGGAGTGTGGGTGATCGCAGGCCGATGTTTCCTGGGATTGAGGGGTAGGAGTGGTAGCGGTGGTGATGATGGTGGCTGATTGATGAGCTCGTTGAGTCACCTCGTATTAGTTTCTGCCTGATGTCTAGCCGCTCTGTTGCTAGTTTTCGTCGTCGGCGACGCATATAGAGTGCGCAGGCTAGTAGGGCGAAGATCGTGATTGCTGACCCTCCGATGATGCTCCCAACTACCGTTCCAGTTTTGGAGGGGCTGGAATGATCGGCTTGGGATGTTTCTGAAGAGGCTACGCTCGTGGCGGTTCCGACAAATGGTGGGATTGAAGGTGTGTTCGATGGTGTGGTGCTCGAGCTGGCCGAGATACTGGAGCTCATGGAGCCAATGGTTGTCTCCGACAAGACAGACAGTGTCGATGAAAGAGATATACTCGAGCCAGTTAATGGAACCGGTGGATTCCACGTGTTGCTAGGAGCATCGGAATACCAGAGATCGGTGGATTCCGAAGTTGCCGAAATAGGAAAGTCCCCCGTTGGGCTTGATAGAACCGAGGTTGTTGGGACTAGAGTCGAAGCTGGAGGTGCCAGAATATCTGTTGCTATAGAGCTAGAAGTCGATATTATAGTGTCCTGCTTAGTTGTCGACAACCTAGTCGTCGTCAGAGTTACGGTCACGGGTGTTGGGTTCAGCGTTGACGACAAGAAGTCAAGTACAGTGGTTGTGGTGCTGGAATCAGGCCCGGAATCAGATATCGTATAGACCCATGTGGGATATATAGTCTCTGTTTCAATTGACGTGATTGTCACCAGATTCAAGGGTTCAGAGGGTAAGTGTGTGGACGTCCGGATGAAGTTGAGCAGTGCAGAGGGAGTATCAATGGCGGTAAAGGCACTCGACATCTCGCCGCGAGCCCGCAGACAGCACGGTTAAAAGACAGATCTGGTGATATTTTCCGATTGCGTCGATGAATGGAACATGGGGGCGACGTAAAAGAATGGATCCCTTTGTACGAGTGCCGGAGAAAGCACAAAGCGACAAAGCAACCGACAAAGCCGCAGGCTTATCAATTTGGCTCTGATGGTTCATCCAAGCCCCCCTCTGTTTCTTGCTTTGTTTCTTGAAGCCCCGAGACAACCACGAACATAATCCCGTGGCCAGGCTAGGATTCCATACAGTTCCCGATTCACCTTCGTAGCCTAAAAAGTGTATCACGTCAGATATGAAGAGGTCGGAGGGTTATATAAAGAGAAATTTTTTAATTTTTTTTCTCTCACAGAATTGGACAGGGGATTTTGTCATTAGTCTGTAACCTGGCGCTTCTTCTAATGGGTGGAAGCAACTCCCCCTCCTGTGACAGATGAACGGCGCTTAGCCATCGGCCCAATAAGAGACTCAGGCGGTCCACGGATGGACGATCATCTCCAGAGAATATGGGAATTTCCATATTGTGATACTCTGACCACGAACCTTTCTGCACGCGCCCTCGTCATTATCGTTCCTTGAGGATTCGAGGGAGTGTATCATGTATCAGGGAATCAGGGACGAAACAGGGCAGTTTCGGGTTTGGAAATTTTAATTTGAACTGGTCCAACCTTGACTCCTTGAAGTTTCATATTTTGCCTATTTTAGCTGTTGTTATCCTCGGCATTGAGGAACAGCAATGCCTCTTTTAGCAGAGTCATGTGACTCTTATATAAGTCCACATTCATATAACCAACATCCATGATATTAGAGAATGAAAAAAAAAAAATCCAAAACGCGGAAGATGTTATGCTAGAATAAAGTACGAGATCCTAGGTTATACACGAAAAAGTCGGGTTGCACATTTTAAGCCGTTTTTACGGCCGATATTTCAAGAAATAGTTATAAAAGAGAATTCACATCCAAGTAAATATCTGAGACGACATCTAGACTACCCAAAAGACTACCCAAAAGAAGGCCGCACAAGCCAACTATCGTAATTCATAAGTAGAGAGTGAGCTAGCTTTACAGCCAGCATTCCCCATTCCTCTATCTCTTGGCTCTTGACCCAAATCCCACGAATATCACAGATCATAGGTGCAAGGTCATAGGACATATCAAAGTACATAGGTAACAGTTTATGTCTAAGACACAGGACAGATGTTCCCGAAATTCCCCACCAGCAAAAGTCCCCTTTCAACCATCTTCTTTCATCTCTCTTCTTCTCACTTTGGGAGTTTCTTTGACTTCGACTCTGTTTATTGTTACTATTTATTTACCTACTCGGTGATTCTGCCGTTCTGCCTTTCCGTCTTCCCCCTTCCCATGTGACCTTAGGGAACTAGAACTTTGCGATAATCGTGCATTTGCATTTGCATATTTAGAAATGTTTGGCTGGGGTTCTGGGCTGGGTAAGCAAATTCTTCCTTTAATCCTTTGGTTACCCCTCGATGTTTTCCCCCCTCCCCCGCCATACCCCTGTGGCGTTGAAATGTCAAGTTCACCTGATTGGGGCCGCGCGTGCACCCTAATACTCCTATATCCGACTGTGACCTGGAATGGACAATCACATAGTATCAAACTAACACTTTGTAGCCTTGCCCTCCGCCACTTCAGAGCCGGAGAAGGAACGCAGACCCCCCGCTGACCCGACACCCCTCGATTTCCCCGTCTACAACCTATCCAAGGTCCTCGAGAATGAGTCGGAATCAAGACTTATGGAGATGTCCGAGCTTCTGGCCGACATCAAACGCCCACAGGACATCTGTATGGAGCGCTTCAAGCCGTTGAACCTGCAATTGGACACGGACGTCGAAGTCGCCAACATGATCCCTGAAGACCACTCGCACCCCCTTGCACCCTTACCATGGGAAGATACCTCTGAACCGACGGAAGACAACCCCCGACCGTTGATGGACAACGGAGCCCCATATCCATCGAAGGAACGATACGAAGTCCTGGAAAAAGAGCTGGCGTTGGATAATGACGACGCTTTCCGCGAGGTGGCTCGATTGCCGCCGCGTGAGGGCCACAGCCGGGTTCGTATAACGCAGTCGAGGAAGTTCTGGACGGGATTGGAGCGCATGGCTCAATACTGGGATACTAGCCTAGACAATTACTACGAGCGCCCGGCAACCCCCGAGCCGACCCCATCCGAGAGGGAGCGGGCAGAGTTTGACACAATGCAGGTGGATGCCGAGGATTCCAAGAGCAGATACTCTCCGACAGATGGTTCAATGGACCTGGATGAAGCACAGACAGGCGCGCCTTCGAGCAATAACACTGTTGGCGGTGAGAAGCAACCCTCTGTCCCTGTGTACACGGGCCGCCGAATTGGCAACGGAGCCGAGATGCCTGATGAAATGCGTGACGAGACAATCCGATCCTTCGTGGAGATGGTCGCATGGCCATTCGGATGCCAGGTCACGGCCCCCACACTCCCACCACGGTTGACCACCAAGAACCTCCTGTTCCCCGTTCGGCAAACATTCCAGTCCTCACGGTCCCCGCGAGATCGCCAGGTTGCGCGGAGCGGCATGCTCGAAGGCCCCGTTCTCATCTCGCAGTGTCGACCCGAGACTTCTTTCCGCACTGCGGACAATATCCCCGGGACCGGGATTGGCGAGGTAAGTGATTTATTCCGCGAAGTGGGCGGCATGCTTCTCGCGGCGCAAGAGCGTGCTCGCGAAGGCGCAGTGGAGAAGCGACCCGGCGAAGGCAAATGGTGGACCATGGAGCCTCGCTTCGGAGGCGCCCCCAACGACGGGATCCTGGATGATCTCATTAACAAGGGACACGGGATGTCCCTGCCAGACTCGATGATGGAAGAGATCAAGCCATCTGCCCAGGAGGCGGATAGCACTTCCAAGCGCAAGTTTGAGCATCCGTTTGTCTCGTCTCTCTCCCGGAAACCGAGTGCTATGCGCAGACTTACTAGCAGTGAAAAGTGGAAGATCCTGCAGCCTGGACCTAGTCTTTGGGATAAGCGCATGAGCTATTTGCAGATAGGCAAGGTCCAGGAGAGTCCGTTTGACGATGTATGCATACCCTGCCTTGTTTATTGAGCCTGAGTGTACACTTTACGGCCAGATAGAGCTAACCCCCAATCTCTTGCAGATTTACATGATCTCGTCTATCAACCACCACATCTCAATCCTCCACCTCCGCGTCCACCGGCGGTATTTGGACATTCTCACCAACGGCAACAGCACCTTTCCGGCAACCGAAGGTGAGCCGTGGCATGTGCTGAAGCTGCAGAGGACTAGATGGTTCGACCTGCTCGATGCCAACGACCGCATAGAAGCGCTGAAGGGTGTGTGGCAACTGTTCCACCACCAGCTAAGACAGACACATCGCGAAGGCGATGTCCCAGTCCCGACAGAATTACCTTTAGATTGTCCATTATAGAGCATGTATGATGGTGTCCGCGGTGACGTGCTTTTGACTCTGATCTCAATGGGCCTTTCTCAAGCGAATACATCTTGTACATACGGTGCAGCAATCTTCGTTGTTTTCTCGTTTGCTGTGCCAACCCTCACCTTGTCCTTTTATCCATACCCATCTCCAATGACAGACTACATTGACTATTTACAATCTTGAATATACTGGCATCTGACAGGCTCTTTCCAATGGATACTACGTGCTATTTTCTTTTGAAGGTAATCAGAGGTCTTACGGTGGTGTTCTTTGACATGCCACGCAATGGCCCATAGATTTATTGACAGGTTTTTGTAAACAACTTGGTTTGATATAATGCATACTGGCGAGTCCATCGAGCTGGTCACCCACCAGTCGAGAGAATCCAATTGTCATCATGAACCATCTATACATGATCTTAAAGTATTTACATCAGATACCTTCTGCTCCTTCAATGAATCTCCCGTTATTTACTATGGTAACTACCACCTATATTGTACATACCGACATACTCCGTAGTAATCCACCATCTGAGATTCCACCTCGTTCTCACCCTTAGTACTTTTGCCAAAGTGACGACCCTTTCACTCCTCATTCTAAACAAAACCACCAATCCTCCCTCGTCTTCCATGAAACAACAAAACCAACGCCCCGGACATATTCGGTGTTGAACCCCATGACCTCACATAATCATCATCAAATCTCGCAATACACCACCAAAAATGAAAGAAGACAAAAATCCGATAGCGGTCCAGACCAGGAAAAATCGACGAAAATGTGATATATCAACATGATAGCCCCCCTAAGTCTGCTTCGGTCTCTGTATGGCGTAGATGGTGGGAGAGTGGAGCAGGACTAATTGGCTAAGGGGCGCTGAGGCCCTTTGTGGTGTTATTTCCCGATTCCCGATTTTCCGTTCTAGGTATACAGAGTAGGAATATGTATTATACGGAGTACACATCTACTTCATAGGCGAATGTCTTCCATGTGACTCTAATATGTATCAGGAAATATAAAGATCTCTTTCCATATCGGAGACTTTCTAAGTTCTTGGCTGTCTGAGCGGGTGCAACGTATGATTGCAATACAGAAGACTAATTTCCGAACTATATACTAACAATACAAAGGTACTTCTACTAACGGAGTAGGAGTTTCTTATGGGGCACGTTGCAGAAGTCCGGGCTTGACAGATCCGACTTTCCCTCCCGTAACTTTCCAGGTTACGGGGTTCGCTTATTGCGATAGGACTGGACGGTGTATACGGAGTATACGGAGTACAATATATGTACTCCGTACATGTACTCTGTACTCCGTGCATGGCTGTGAGCTGGCTGATTGCGGTGAGAGTAGCATATGGCAATGGATCTTCATTTAGCTTTTTTCTATATTGTACATAGAGTTTGACAGGTCTTTGGTGAGATAGGAGCTGGTTGGATGTCTTGAAAAGAAGGAAACATCACAGAAGAAGCAAGAATATGCAGAGGGATTTAGCTGTCGATGGGGGTTGATTTGATGCTAGTTTCGGTGTACATGTGTTTCGATAAGTATATTCAACGAATTTCCAGATGGGAGGTTATGATGTGAACATTGAAGAGTCAAGCACTGACCATTCAATGTCAACCTTGAAATGCTAAAAAAAAAAGTCCGAGCCACATCGTTAAGGCTAAATTCTTCCGTAATACTCCGTCTAAATCCCCTCATCCAATAAAACCTCCAAGTTACGCTCCATGCATATTAGTCTTGCCCAATTAAAAACCTAGACTCCCCCAAACCCGAGTATCGACACCCGCCGGCTGCAAATCAGATCACATCACACATTTAGAAAATCATCGCGCTTGGTGCGCTTTATCAAAACAAACCCAAATCTGGCATATGACCCGCTTAGTAGATCTCAAACCTACAAATAGACCTCGGTACGGGGACTACCCAATGGGGATGAAAAAAGTACAGGGTGTACCCGCTCTACTATTACCATGTATTTTGTATAAAGACTATGTGGAGACAGTGAAAATTGAAGAGGCTCGGGGTCCTCGGGGACCATGACGAGCGGATCAGACTAGGGGGCGTATGATATACTTTTAAACATGAGCTATCCCTTGAATAGAATGTAATTGCGGGAAGTGTAAACGTAAATACAGACTAAAGAGCCTTAATACCTGGTTATATTCGTAGTATAAGGAAATCCATGAGACCCGAATATACTAGCCCAGGAATCTGATTATTTGATCTTATAGATTGAAAAGTACGCAAGTTGCTTCATCGAGAAGGTGGAGGGTGGATATACGTATATGTGCAAGTACCCAACAACTTCAATCCCAGACTACTGCCTAATAGAGTAAAGCCTAGATAGATTCTCCATAAAATAAGCAAGCGAATGGTGTGCATAAAGGAGGTAGGTGTGACTCCCAAAACGTCGGATTCGACTAAAGCGGGTATATAGTCGCGTTTGAAATTTTTGTCCTTCACGGCAAGGTACACAGCCGCGCTAAGATGCTGTCGGGCCGGCGGGTGATTTACTTTTCGTGTGGTACGAGGTACCCTATGTGCATACCGTACAGAGTATAGGGTAGGCTAATGCTAATAGCCAATAACTTCTCACACTGGCCGGTCAGTTTGGAATCTAACCAGATTCTCCTCGCATGCCGAAAGGAAATTGATAGCAGCTCACGGGGCTAGGATATTTCTGGTTGAAGTCTTGATTATATGGACTTTTGCCAGATAGTAGGTTAGAGCCTCTGCAGGAGCACTGATCGGGGTCAGCCCGCAGGCCTTGTTCTCCAGTTTTGTCTTTTTTCGGTTTCCCTTGCATCTGGCGAACGGACCAATCGTTCATATAAGTTCGGTCTGGTCTTCAAGCCTCAGTTGTATTTGCTGGATTGCTACTCAAGGGATGATGCAGCGCAAGGAGGTTTGTTTTTCTTATGCAACTGACCTGATTAAGTCTTGTTCTTGACCTTGCGGAGGGCGACAATTTTGCCCGAGCTGGTGGGGCAGGTGTGATGGGCAAGCGAATTGCGGTGGTCGAGATATGACAAGTAGGGAGAGGGGAAGGAGGGGGGAAGACAACTAGATCCCAGAGGGGTCAGAGAGTACTTCAGTCTCGAGAGAGCCAATAGGTCAGGTAGATCCTATCAGGTCCACATGGAACCGAACCCACGTGGGAACGCATCAAGCCAGGCCTCACCAGGAAGGCAAGTCGGAAATCTTGACGTATCAGTTGCACAGACCAATGTGGCAATAGGATGGTCAAAGTCGAGATGAGATCTCAACGAACGGTGAAAGTCTGTGTTGTACAATCTGTACACATCACATTTCCTTTTTGTGGTTATATGAAACCAAACCGTGTCGTGCATGATGGGCAGAACAAATGACACTGGATTCCAAATCGATGGGTAGGTCTGAATCGACCTTTAAGATGAGTCCTGGTAGATTTGCGAATCTGCGTTTGCTATGCAAAGAAGCGGGAGAGCCCCGATCGTGAAGAACGATGTCGTGTCCCGCGAGATGCAAGGTTTGTTCTGAGCTCCAACTCCATAATTCCAGTGGAGATATCTATGAAGCGCATCTAGGCTACCCGCAGAACAGATTGTATAGTGACAGAGTCATATGTCCAGGTACTGTGGCAGAATGGAGGTGATCACATTTCAGCTGAGGCGGGCAGCGGCATAACCGTGCTTACATCGTCGAAAAGGGCCTAGATACTCTGTAGTGATTGCTATTAAATTTACTTATTAGTATTGTGGTATTCAACCTTTAAGCGTTACGCATGTATAATTCTAGAAATACAAATCAGAACATAATCCGTAGCTTAAGAACCCTCTGTAATATTCGTGTGATCTGTTTCTGGGGACGAGACACGAAGAGAGTGGCAGACTGGGGTTACGGTTGCAATATGGTTCTGGACTTTGTCGTTGGCGCATGTCAACACTACCTTTCTAGGCTATACTTGCCCATTTGTGCACCTCTCACCAGCCCTATGATATTAAAGGTAGATACAATCACGTCAATATGATATACTGTTGATGTTAGTCCTGTTTATGTATCTTGTTTCACCCCCTATCTAGACACTGGTCTGAAATGCATCGCATTTACTGCCTAGGTATGCCAATTGCACATCAGGGTCTCAGTTTAATGCGAGGAACCCAACCTATTGCGTGACCGCTATGCAACCTTCCGTGTTGCCTCCCTTCGATATATGTGGGGATTTTTGTCAAGGGCGAGGATCGCCTGCATCTTCCCCACATGGAGCCATTCCAATAGTCCTGTGAAGTGATCCTCGGTGCTGATTGGATGCAAGCTAGGTCTGCTGCATACTTATTCGGGTGCTGGGGTTTCCTCCGATGCGATTGTCTCTGCGGTACTCCGTACTGTGAATAGTACTCCGTAGTACATGGCCCTAATCATAGGGAACATGATCCTTCTTAGTACTTCAGTATGTAGATGGATAGCAGCGGAATATAATCCCAAGCTTGGCGTTACACTGCGAGCTAAGGATTTGAGCTCTAAGAGACCTTCATAGTAGAAATGGAGCCCAGGCTATAGTAGCATAAGTGTTCGGTTTTACTCTGTACTTATTGGGAGGCTGGATTTTGGGTTTCTTAGTTGTCGATGTCATGTTTGTGGTTGCCCCCTTGCGTTCGCCATTGTATATCTAATGACTCTAGAAACTTTATTCCAGATACCTACATACTGCAATATGCATGGCGTGCAGTCACTATCTGCACGATAGGCCCGTGTTATCTTGGAGGTTATGTCTGTTTAGCGAAGCTCAGTTTTTGGAGAAGAACTGGGAGTTAAATACCGATAGAATAGCTGCCTAGTGTCTTCCCCCATCCCTCGTTTTCTATTAGCTAAAAAAAAATAGCTCGCAGGTTTTGTCAATTTCCATGATATCCACTAAAATCAAGACTTTGGGCGACGCGTAGCCACAGATAATGCAGAGCTGAAGATCTTGACCAATGCGCCGCCCCGAACCCAGGAAGCGGAAAGAAGGGTGGAAACGGCAGATCGACAGGGCAGCTTAAAAATGGAACACAGCTTGGATACTATGCCTGTCGACATTGAATGCTGACTTGGAAGACCCGTGATTGAAAACCATGTAACCCTGATAGCCCCTTAACGGTGGCAAGAACTTGTGATCCAACGACCAGAGTGGGATGCCTTGGAATTTGCAATCAGTAGAATACCATACTTACATCATCGAAAGAATGGACTTTGCTACTAAGGTTAGGTTCGGGTTGTTTTTCATTCCGAGGGTTTAACTCAGATCCCGTTCATGCACGTCAAATCCCGTACCATGTTGGCTATGTTGTATATCTTTGATACGGTGGATCTACATCCCGACGCAACTTGGAGGATTCGAATTAATCAAGAAACACTCAATCAAACAAAGAACATCGTCGCCTAGCGAAGTCTTGGCTCAACGCGAATCGAGCACTATTGTACTGTAAGCAGCCCCAAATTGTGTATCCATACTCCATACTCCGTACACTACGTACCCTACAGACCACGAAGTCGTACCCCACCACGATCCTTCAATCCTTCATCTTGTCAGCGGCTGAAGCGGGTGACTGCACAGACACAAATTCAACGGTCAAAAAAAAAAAAAAAAAAAAAAACAGGAATGCTGGGGCAACTCTGTGTCATTGTACCACTTTCAGTCCGCGCGTTTGACTCGCTCAGAGGACCTCCGACTGGGGAACACCATTGAGTCTTCTGTGGTACAGAGGTCTTGAGCTGCATCCTGTTCAAGCTAGGGGTAAACTGTGCTACTGCCTAAGTTAGGAAGAAGAGCTAAATGAATGAGGTTGCCAGGCTCCAGTATGATATCACCGGGCACAGGTGATTAAATGGGATATCAATTCAATACACTTTCTATCAACCAAAATAGTAAGCCCCTGGAGCCCGTGGATGATTCCCGTCGTCAACCATGGATGGAAGACGGGTAACCCCGAGCCCCGAGATTTCCTTCATACGACGTCATGTATTTCTGGTATTTACAATCCCAATCCGACTACATATTTCTATGTTTTATATATTGTACATCGTACAGGGTATATATATATAACACATTCCAACTTCTCCAGTTGAGTCTTCCAACGCCCCTAATGTGTATTTGGATCAAACAGTCCAGTGCACGGGGAAGAGCAAGGTGCCCAAAGCCCAGGGTTGCTGATCAGCCCCGACAACCATCTCTCTGGGAGCCAGATGGATAAAGTATCCCTTCGAATGATAAGTGCGCTGAAGGAGGGGCTGGAAGCTTTGAACATCGCCGATCTGGAGCTGTGTATATACGCACTGATTTGAGCATCAAATTCCAACAGAGTTTTGTCTTGAGTTGATGTTTTGGAAAAGCAAATGCCCCTTGCGAGTTGTTATCCGTGACCGAATCGACGGCCAGTGCGGCGTGTGTTATTGGGTGCTTGGGGCATTGAGGGATATTTAACCTGACATACATACATACCCCTCCATTGTTTTCGGCTATACTTTCAATATTCTTACCTTTTGGAATAGAATCATAAATTGGATGTTGATTTGGATATCTTCTAAGAGTACCCCGTTCCCGAGTCCTGGGTACTGGGCAGCGATCCATGTCCGACATGGGTCATATCAGTATAATGTGAAATAAGAAAAGAGCCCGAAAAAAAACAAAGAAAAAAAACAAAGAAAAAAAACAGAAATATTAAAACACAGAGATTATTACTCGAACTTTGACCCTCATCGTAAGCCATAAATCCCACCATAAATCCAACTGTCCAAATCAGTATATACACTCCCGGGTGAATCAACTTGCATGGCTGGCGCATTTCCCGGCGAAGCGGTTGACCTTCGGGCGGCAAGTTCGATCCCCGTTCCACGCGGAGGATCCTAGCTTCGATCATAGTATTCTATTACATCTTATGGAGGCATATACATATTGTATCCAAAAAATGACAATATTAATTTCGCTTCTGCAGAGCATCTCATATTTCCCAGCCGCCGGACCCACTGCCTGTTTAAATCAAAAAAGAAACTACAAAGCAGACCTGTCAACTAGAGATGTTTCTCAGGGGTCTATATGTGCTATTATATATGTGATATAAATGGGTTAGGAAAAGCCAAAGCCATTTAATTATTTTCTTTTTTTTTTCAAGGTATTTGATCACGATTCTAAAGTATTTAATCCAGGGAGGGGCAAACAACACCTGTCGATCGCTGTAATTATAACTGTGAATTTATGATATTATGTTATGTTCCCCCCTCCCCCAGTTTATATTATTTCTTCCCTGACAAATTTTCTTACTCCTTTCAATAGGATCTTATATCTTTGAACTTGAACTTCCAAATTGACAGTGATAAAACTTGTACCGATCTACAATATCCAGTGTATCAACCCCCGGTATTGACTACCCACAACTCCAAGCACAGGTACGTTGTTATATTACAACCTTACCATACCTGACCGAGGTACCAACCGCGTACCCCATGCGTATACTGGTACATATACTCCGTACATCACCCAACCTTGAAAGGTTCCCATTTTCCCCCTCCTTGTGGCCCAACCTTGTACTTGTGTTTGCGATCTATCTGATATACAGTGGATCCTTTCTTTGAATTTTTTTTAATTTCATTTTTCCTTGATATTTCCATAACTCGGCCTAACGGGCCCCCTGGTCGGATCATCGCCGTAATCTGACTATTTCTTTGTCTAGCTCCACACTCGGTTGTTGCGACATCACCGCATTTTTGTGAACGAAACCCGGAGCTTTAGGCACGCTATTTGATTCGCTTCTAACGGCGCGATCTGGTTTCATTGTCCCAGCTTTTGCTCCTTCTGCCATCAGATCTACCGATCTGCCATTTCATTCCTTTTATTGCATCCTCGACGCCAACCGAGAACACCATGTTGGTTTGAGTCCCGATTACCAAGCTAGATTGCTTCTCAACAGGAAATTGGATATACCTAGTGCCAACGACCCGGGCTAGTTGCGACAAGGCGGCGCCTGGAAGCTTCAAACCCCTCACAGCCGGACCCTCCATTTACAATGAGTCGCATGCCTCCCCCGGAAGGGCATCATGCGCACGCGGGCCCGCATTCAGCATACGAACCATCATGGCGCCCTCCATACCCCCCGTCGTTCGATAACCACCCCTCCGACTCCCGCCGCTCTTCCGCAAATTCCCAGACACCCCTACCACCGCAACCGCCAGGATACCCTGTGATGCCCAATCGTGAGCTGCCGCAGTTAACATCGGAAGGCCCATATGGTCGTCCGAATGGTCATGGTCATGGCCTGCCCCTGCATGCGCCCGTACATTCCCCGCAGGACCCAATTCCCCCTCACCCAAACTTTCACCAGCCGATGAGTGGCGCGCCGCACGAGGGCTCACCTGATTATCGCGCACGTATGGGCTACCCACCCCCGGATCAAATCAACAGCGCCGAACATACACCCGTGTCAGGCGTTCTGCCTCCTGCCTCACAGTTCATGACACCTCAAATGACGAGTGCTACGCCGCCTGCCGGGTACGACCAGGCATTTTACCAAAACCCGTCGTTTGGTGCACGTCAGCGTAAGGCGAACAGAGCCACACAGGTATGTTAAAGCCCAGTGGAAGTCGGAATGGCTTCGGGGAATTTTTCGACTGACACTCGGGCTATATAGGCTTGTGATCAATGCCGAGCTAGGAAAGCGAAGTGTGACGAGGGACGGCCGAATTGCAGCCACTGCAAAGAGAACAGTCTGGGCTGTGTCTACAAGGAGGTACCACCGCACAAGCAAGAGAAGACTACCCAACTGGTATTGGATCGGCTCTCCCAGATAGAGAACCGCATGGAGGAGCGTTTCGAAAAAATGCAAAAGCAAATGCAAGAGCAAATGCTCAACAAGCCGGGTAAACAGCCACAGACTATCCAAGAACATTCTGCCCTCCCACCGCCACCACCGCCGGTCATCAAGCAGGACCCGCCCCTCAAAACAGAGATGCCTTCGACCCAGGCCTCAACTCCAAATGTTTTGGATCCCGGGAGTCAGGATGTAGGCACTTCAAAATTTGGCCAACCCGTTGGAGCCTTGGACCCGATGCTCGAGGACCAGAAGGAGGCCGAGGGAGAGCTCTCCATCCCAGTGGAGCACACTACTGCGGCTCACAAGTTATTGATGTGGCCGTCCATCAAGAGGCTGCTACACCCTGCAGTATATGACGAGGATTATGTGATGCGATTGGAAGAAGAGCGCGGTCTTATCAGTATATACGGCCAAGGTGAGATCTCATTCACTGCCGATGACAGTGAATTACCCATAGGCTCCAAGGATACCCGACCTGGCGGTGCCCGACCTGATGGGGATGGCGCAGGGCCAGAGGCGGACGTCGACATCGACGAATTTGGTCACATGAAGCTGGATGCTACGACTGCAAAGCGCTACTATGATAGCTACATCGCGCACATGTTTAAGCTTCACCCATTCCTTATGGAGGGCGAACTCAATCTCAAGGTCGATAGCTTCATCCGATGCTATTGCCCACCCAGTACATCGCCGAGTTCAACTTCCAGTTACACACGACTAGCTCGCGATGGTCCGCCGCCAGCCAAAAGGAGGCGGTCAAACGAAAACCTGGGTGTGCGAGGCGAGTATATGGAAACTATCTCGAACCCGGTGCGGCCACGAGTCGGTAAAAATATTGACAATGCCTTGATTATGCTGTGCATGGCCATCGGAGCTATTTGCGAAGCTGGTGCACCTCTCCCTGGGCCTATCATGGACAAGAATATCGACTACCTCCGCCAGGTCATCCCTGCTCCGCTGCCACCATTTGCTCCCCCGCCAACAGTAAATGGGACATATGTCACCAATGGTGTGCTCTCCCCCGCAAACTCTGACTCGGCGGCTATACCAGTGTCGCTTACGAATTCACTGTATGGTATGCCGATGCAGGCTAATAGCCAATCTTTCCCATCGGCTCCAACGGAAAGACTACCAGGCCTGTCAAGAAGGGATGTGACAAACACGAAGGATGCACAAGGAAACAAGAAGAACTACCAGGCCATCCCTGGCCTGACTCTCTATGGGTACGCGACCTCAATATTGGGCAACCTGCAGGGTGGCAACGAGCTAGAACATGTCCAGTCCGGGTTACTTGCCGGCCTTTATGCCGGCCAGTTAGCCCATCCTTTCCAGAGTCACAGTTGGATTTCTCAGGCCTCAAGGGCTTGCCAGGTGCTTGTGAGAACCAAGCGATATGAGCGACTCGAAGAGGGGCCTTTGCAGGACTTATACAACTTCGCGTACTGGACTTGTCTGCAATTAGAGAGTGATCTTCTCGCCGAGCTGGACATTCCAGCGAGTGGCATCTCCCGCTCCGAGGGTCGGATGGCTATTCCGAAAGGAAAATGGACAATCGTTCTACCAAACGATCTTAACGCACCCCAAACGATGATGATGCTATTCTATTCTGCGCAAATTCATCTGCGTAAAGTCCTGAATCGAGTCCATACAGACTTATATAAGGTCGAAAAGCAGGGCCAGACACGATGGTCCTCCACCGTTCAGGAGGCTCTGAGCCTGAATCTCGACCTCTGGCGTAAAAGCCTACCACAAAGCATGCAGTGGGAGGAAAACGACCCACCAGCAAACGAAATCAACGCTGCGCGCATGCGTGCCAAGTACTACGGTGCCCGGTATATTATCCACCGACCTCTTCTCTACCACGCACTACACTATGGTCACACAGGTGCCCGCGTCGGCCCAGTCGGCCAGTCTTTAGTGGACTCACCTACCTCCCAACACTTGTCCCCCTCAATGCTACACAGCGCTGCTCGGGCCCCGAACATGGCGCGTATGTCTAGTGACATGGGCTCTATGCCGGCTGCAGTCTCCACTGACTGGCAGCCTCCTAAAGTCCGTTTACACGACCTGCCAAAGAAGCTGAAAGCTGCCTGCGACATCTGCGTTAAATCAGCCATTAAGAGCACGGAGGCTTTTGACGGTGTAGGCGGACATCGATTGGTCGTTACCAACATCTTCGGCACTGCCCATGCGTAAGGAATCCTCTGACACCCGTTTCCAATGACTACAGATATAGAGATAATGCTAACATGTTTTCTTCGCAGGCAATTCGGCAATATGCTCGTTCTTTCTGCCACTTATATGTCAAGTCTAAAGGAGCTCGTCGAGGCAGATCAACTCGAGCGTCTCCTCACACGCACAATAGGCTTCCTCATCCAAAGCGAAAACATATCCCCCACCCTCCGCGCCGATGCTCGCATTCTCACCGAGATCCACCGGAAGATCTTCGGCCGTCTTCCTGACATGGGGCAAGCCACCAACATGAGCAGTCACACTCCGAGCATGAGCAGCCATACCACCAGCGCGAGCTTCCCTTAAATGTGAATCTAGCGTCAGAGTTCTTCCCCCCCGTTCGTGTGGGTTTCGCAACCTGATATCTGATCCTATATCCTTATGAACACATAATGCATTGTCCCTGTCCCTTTAAGCCCGAGCCCTTCCACGCTCGATATTTGTTATCTGTTTGTCATCTATACCTTGTGCACTATACGGTTTTTTTTTTCATTGACGATATCCCAACACTATCCAATTCAACACTCGATACCCGTGCATCTGAGACCGGATCAGATTACTATAATTTTATTTGTGGTGATTGATTGGTGCGGCTTATTTTCTTACGTCAAGCAATCTCACCTGTTCTTTCATTGCCTCTCTTAAGGTAATGACTGGATTGGCTTTGACTCGTTCCCCCCCCCCTCTCCCCCCTCTCTTCTTACTTTTTGTTTTTGGGGCTGGAAGCATTTGGTGGTTTCGACGGTCTATCCCTGCGGAGATACGTCTCGGGTAATGGAGTTATTGTGTCTTGTGTGGTTAACCTACCTACATTGCATGCATCTCAAGCCATACATTTCTGTAGGCTTTTCTTTTTGGATGATTTTACAATATGCGAACTTATTTCTGTTGATTTGGCTGTGCCAATCGTTCTCATGTCCAATGCAAAGGTTTGCATTTCGTGTTGGCTTTCTGTTTTTTTTTTTTTTTTTGAATTATACCTCATCTTCAGTGCGGGATATATTTTGGGGTTTGTTTGCTGTAGATTTTCTTTTCAGTAGTCTATAGGTTTGGACAGGGATCAATTGAGATGAAGCCTAGAACCTTGGAAATACCTGTGGACCGGACCAAGATGGCGTTTTCCAAAGTTGTGGGCCCTTCCACTCCCACGGTTTCATCACGGCTGGCTGATATCAAACCACAATTATCTAAAGTTTAATTAGAATAAATTGGGCGATTAGGCATATGCCTAAATTTGGCTATCTTAAAGAATCACAGAGATATCAACTGCATGCTGCTCGCGGGCCTCGGCTTCCCCGCATTTTGCCGTTCAGGAGTTAATTTTGAGGCACGAGTCAGCTTACTATTTAGATGGTGTATAAAAAGACATCTGTTATCTTCAGCGTACAATCTTTGATATCTGGGTGGAAGTAGATAGATACTTCAATTTCTAACATGGCGCCAAATGCAAGCACATGGCTCTCGAGAGAAGGTATTGACCCTTCCTATAACAACCAGCCAATATTAACAAACAACCAGGCTTCACGGCTGATGTACTGGGCAGCTTCATCTCTCGGAGTCTCCTAGACCCCTGGAAATTACTCCCCATTATTGCTCTGGCTCATTATACAGCTCAAGGTCGTGATACCGCCAAATCGCGCCCAAATCTCTACAAGGCCCTCAAAGTCCTAACAGCTCAAAGTCTCATCAACCGGCTGAACAACTGGCTCGACCATCGCACGCTAAACAACAGGGTCAACGACACATATGACTGGCACCGCGAAGTTGTAATCCTAACAGGCGGCAGCAACGGGATCGGCCGACGCATCGCCGAGCTGCTCGGGGCGCGCGATATCAAAGTCGCCATCCTGGACATTGCCCCTCCAGCAACCGATGACGTGCTACCAAACAGCGTACGATATTACGAATGCGATATAACCTCTGTGAGCAACATTGCAGACGTAGCGTCCAAAATCCGCGCCTCATTCGGCCGGCCCAGCATCCTAATCAACAATGCTGGCATCTGCACCGGCAAAACAGTCCTCAAAACAACCGCAGCCCAGACGCGCCGCATGTTCGAAGTCAACACGTTCGCGCACTACTGGCTCGCGCAGGAGTTCCTGCCTGATATGATTGAGGCAAACCATGGTATGGTTGTTACTGTTGCGTCGCAGGCTGGATACACCGTCACGCCTAATATGGTCGATTACTCGGCTTCCAAGGCTGCGGCTATTGCGTTCCATGAAGGACTTGGTGCTGAACTGGTTACGCGATACCATGCGCCTAAGGTTCGCACTGTGCTTGTTACCCAGGGCTTTACTAGGACCAATCTCATCAAGGATCTGACCCCTGAGGATACTTGGTTTAATCCCCTGCTTCACCCAGAGACTGTTGCCAAGGAGCTTGTTGAGCAAGTGCTCAAGGGTGAGAGTGGGCATGTTGTTGTTCCTGGATCTGCTGGATGGGTTGCAAAGAGATTCAGGGGATTGCCTGCGTGGTTACAGCATTCGTTGAGGTGTAAGTTAGAGAAGTTGATGAGGGCTGATTAGGATTGTGGCTTGTTTGAGCTATTATTTGTGTGTTGCTGCATATATTGCACTGTTATTGGCAATAATAGGAATTTGGATATACTGTTTTTGGTTGTTAGCGATGGTACAGTTAGCATATGGCTGTTCTTGTATATGTATTGAAACATACTCTGTACTCCGAGCCATGAAGTCGATAGACTTGGACTAAACATCTTTATCAGATGTATATGTGAGGTACGGAGTACGCCGTATATAGATGGCTGGGATGTGAAGATGTGACGAAACAGTCCCAGCCCCATGCTGGTCTGTGCACGATGCTTCACCGCGATTTTGATTCGCTCCACTTGTTGCACCAACAGTTCATCAGCGCTGTCAGTCACATTTTTTCACTGTCGCATTTTTTTTTCAGATCGTTTGCATATCATCTCCCTAACACACAAATTCCATCCTGTATTCGACACCATAGCAAGAGATCAAGGTGAAGTAAAAGCGCCACAGGTTCAAGTTGAGATCCACTGGGGGCCTTTCCGGGTACAAGATCCACGGGTCAGCTCCGTTGTTTACTTCCCCCCAAACCCATAACATTGCATTCCCTCTTACAACTAACACTTCCCCATACCTTTACCCCCCCATTCCAACCATTACATTCCTTTCATTCCACATGTTTTACTCTGGCTACCCCAATTAATTACCCACCATGTTCAAGGCCCTGATGGGCGGGGGCCGCTCGTCGTCTTCATCCGACGTTCGCAGCTCCAAGAGCAGCAGGCGCAAATCCGAAAAGCTTGACAAATCTGACACAAGATCGATCTCAAGTCGCAAGTCCTCACGGGGTGACGACCGTGACCGCGGCCTGGGTGACTTGTCGTCTTATTCGCCATCGGTTTCGCGCAGTAAGCGTGGCCCACCTAGCATCGCCGGCGACTCCGTCGCATCCACCTATGTGACCGCTGAGCCAGAAACCATTGATGACTCCAATAACTACTACATTGAACGCACACCAAAACGCAGAGACAGTGACCGGGAAAGCAAGAGTTATCGTCGGCGCGACCAGGACCGATCCGAGAGTCCAGAGCGTGAGAAGAGAAGAAGCCGCCGAGGAACACAAGATACTCTGGACGATGACTTGGATCGGGAGCGCGACAGGCACGAGCGTCCTCGCACCCAGCCAGGGGATCCGTTTGTGCCCCCGATCTCCACAAACATGCCGCCTAGCGCCCCAGGCGGGCAGTTTGCCGCCGAGATTGGCGCCCCAGGATTTTCGCAATTCCCCATGCAATACGACGCTGGGATGCCATCCGCAGGCCACTCGCCAGCGCATGAAGTTTCATATGACCCGCACGTGCAGCACCAATTTCCTGGCCAGTTCCCAGAGCAAAGTACTGCACCGTATCCACCGCCTAACCCCGCCGGTGCTGCGGCGGATTACTATGGTGACCAGGGCCAGTCGGTTGAGCACCAGCCCGGTATTCGACCGGCTCGCCCAAGTGTGCTTCCTAACACCCAAGCGCACTTGATGGCCGCATCTCCATCGGCTAACCCACCCCCCAGAGCCCAGCAGCCTGGGAGAGACGGGTGCGGCGGCGGCCTATTTTGATGATAATTTCCATGCTCCGGCACAGCATGGCCAGCCGCCAGCATTGTCTTCATCTAGACCCCCAAAGCCGTCTAAGCCCTCGAGCCCCCCGAAGCCTTCTTCATCGGGCGTTCTTCCTGCTGCCGCCATTGGAGCTGCCACTTATGGCATTGGTGATATGATGTCTCACTCCGAGTCGCATTCCGCTGCCCAGCACACTACTTCATACACTCAGCAGGGCCAGCCAATGGGATACGGTCAGCCGATGGCAGGCAGCAGCCACCAGTCTCCTTCTAAGCCGTCTCACTCTCATAGCTTCAGCGAAGGCGTCGGTATTGCGGCTGCAGGTGCTGCAACAGGGTACATGATGGGTCATCACCATCATTCCTCCAGCCCGGAGCACGCACCGCAATACGCTTTCCAGCATCACGGGCCATCTTCTCAAGCTGGTGGTATGATACCGTATGCCTCTGGCCACAACAATGCTTTGTATGCTGCAGGCGCGGGAGGATACGCTGTCCAGGCTGCCCACAACCCGGGCTTCTATCCTCATGGACCCAGCGCGCTAGCTTTCCAAGAGCGTCAGCGTGGTGCCATGGGCAGATTCGTGGATTTCTGGCGTGATCCCGAGGCCGTTGGAAGATTCGAGGACTACACGGAAAGTATTGGTGTGTGCAAATACTGTTTCCAACCTGGCACGAGCTCCGTCGATGCTCCTCGCAAGCATCATTATAATAGTCGCCGTCGATACTCCGACGATCGGCGGAGCAGTGGTAGCTCCAGAGTCAGCAAAATTAGCCGGTACAACTCCTCCGAAGATGAGAGCCGCCGACGGTCCAAGTCCAAAAAATCTTCCTCGTGGCTGCCTGGCATGCTGGCCGGCTATGCGACCAAGTCGCTCTTCTCAAGCAAGGAGTTTGACGATTCTTACAGCCTTCGCTCAGGCCGAGTAGCCTCCTCCCACGGGGAAGAAGATGACAGAAGGAGCCATACCTCTCGTGGTGTGACCCGTCGTTCTGGTCGCAGTCCCCACAGAGAACATTATGTAGACTCCAAGCATGCGTCGCATTCTGGACATTCTCGATACACACGCTCCAGATCGCGGTCTTCCTCTCGATCTGGCCGGCATTCGTATCTGAAGGAGGCCGCACTCGGTGCCGCAGTGGGCGGGGCTGCGCTGGCTGTTTCAAAGTCGCGCAACCGCTCCCGAAGTCGTTCTCCTGGAAGACGACAGAGCCGAAAGGATTCCTCCTCATCATCGTCATTTGTTAATCTTCCCAGGCCCGGCAAGAAGTCCATCGCTAGTGGTATCGGGTCTTTCTTTACTGCTTCTTCTGAGAATAGGAAGAAACGTCATACCAAGAAGCGCAGCGGTTTCTTCTCTTTCAGGAGTGGCTCTTCATCCTCTTCATTGGATAATGATCTTGCTTTCGGAGATGGATTTTCGAAGAAGTCCTCTAAGCTTAAGAAGGGCAAGAAGAATAAAGATGTCGATACCGCTTTGCAAGAACTCAGCGACACCGCAACCCGGTTGGCTGGCTCCTCGCCCCACGGTCCCGGCCGCAGCGCAGGCCAGATGTACACATCTCGACCAAGGCAATCTAAATACGCCCAATCTACCACACAGGACGAAGACTGGGTTGATGCCGAGTCGGACGACCAGTCTTCTTCAAGTATTAGCTCTGCGCTCGCATTCGGAGGAACCAGTGTTGAGTCTTCCTCTGACTCCGCCAGTAGCAAATGGGGCTGGAGATGGGGAAGCAAGAAGGACAAGAAGAAGGACAAGCGGTCGAGTGCCACGAATGCCGCTCTGGTAGCTGGCGCTGGCGCTATTGGTGCCGCTGCAATCTCTTCTGCGCGTCACCGTGATAGCGAGCCCCCGAGTAGATCTGGGAGCTTACAACACGTTTACCCAATGCCTACTTCTGACCCGTCTCGCTTTGATGTTGCGAAAATGTCCCCATCGGTATTTGCCGGGGAACCAACTCTCATCCGCCCGGGACCCATTCCCCTTCAGCAGCCTCAGCCTTTCACCCCCGTCTCTCAATCAGTTTATACTACCCAGGGAGCTATGCCGGGATCGATCCCCGTGTACAGTGCCCCAGCAGTCCCAGTAGCCCCACCCGCTTTCGCCAATGGGGTTGAACACGATGGCTCGCAGGTCCAAGGCCCTCGTGATCCAGCATGGGTACCAGAAGGGCCAACATACGTCGACCACCGGAGACCTCATCGTAGTGATTCCTCTCCTGTTTTCCCCACCCAGGAAACTGCTTCTAGCCTCAAGCGCCGGTTTACCGCTAAGGATCAAGCCTCTGTGCAATTCAACTTGACGGAAGAGCAAGCAGAGAGGGAACGCCATCTCACCCGTCGTGACAAGGACTCCCGGGGTGAATTTGCTGACCAGCCGGTTCAACTTATTGACCGAGAGGTGGCCCGCAAGGAAACCGACCCTCGAGATCGCCGCCGAAAGGAGCGAGAGGATGAAGAGCGCCGGTATGCCGACGACAAAGGAAAGAACTCATCCTGGGTTGGAGCAGCGGCTGCTGGAGCAGTTGGCGCGGCTGCTGCCAGCACTATTCTCTCTCGCAAGGCAGATGATGACGAAGCTTCTGAAGCCAGCCAGCGATACAATGAGCGCCGAGAGAAACGCCGCGCTGAGCGAAAGCGAGATATGGATACAGTGGCAGATACTTCGATTGTGTCGCGCTTCGAGCCTGCTCAGCCTATTAATGAAAAAGTGACCACGGTGGAACCTCGCGAAGACCAGAAGAAAGCGTCTCCTCGATCTCCCCGTCCAGCACCCATTTACGATGATTACGCGGAATTTTACGCCCCTGAGGAGATACGACATAGCGCAGATGATCATGCTCGCAGCAGCAACTCCAATAATATGCCCACAATTGTGGAGATAGAGCCGGCCGGCGAACGTGCACATAAGGAGCCTGCGCCTGCAGAGCTAGATTATTCATATGAACCCTACCAACACGTGGACCGGCTCCCATGGCCAGTCCCTGGGCTCAACTTCATTGAGCCAACTCCCCCCCAGAGCGTGCACGGTGGTTCCGTACGCGACGCTACCTCCCCAACCGCCCCTGCAACTAAACCTTATGATACCAAGCCTCGAGAACGACCAACCGGCTCCCGGGTCTCCTGGGGCGAACATGAGACTCATGAATATGAGATCCCCTCTTCTTCTGAACAGGATCCTCTTGAGCATGACATTTCCCCCACCGAAATTTCAGCCAAGGATGTTCCTCTCCCAGCATCCGAGATATCCCAAATTAAGGGTCTCCCGGGCAAACCAGAGTATGGCGCAGACATTGAATTCGCTGCCACAATCGCTGCTGCAACTGCCGCTGCCGGATTCGATCCCACTCTGATCACAAACGACCCATCCTACCATACCCGTACCTCCCCTCCTGGGTCGGAGGACGAACACACATTTACCTCACCCTGGTCTGCATCAGCTCGGAAGGGGCCCCATGGCTTCGTGGAGGGCGAGCTTGAAGAAATTGACCCCAAGTCTACTAAGAATATCCCTTCAGGTTCTGAGCATGCGGTCCATAATAAGGATGAGTTTTTCTTTGACGAGCCGGAATTATTCTCAAGAGACCGGGATATTTCTTCGGGACGCCGTGACAAATCCTCGATTGCCCAGGAGGTGATCGAGCAGCTGAATGGCAAATATGGCAAGCGCGATCGTACCGCTTCCCCCGAAAAAGACGTAGATGTCTTCTCGATGCCTGGTGGCTTTGACACAGCCGACTCTAGAGAGTTGGTTGATAATAGATCTGCGGTCTCGGCGCCGGCACCTGTTGCTATGGACCCAGAGACCCCGACCAAGTCTAAATCTAAGAAGTCGAGGCGGAGTGGCGATGTCTTTGATCTCCCCGAGTTCCAAGAGCGGGAACTCGCCGAGTCTGCTGTTATGAAGGATAAGGCACCGAAATCCCGCAAGTCCCGGCGCAGCGGCGACGACTTCGAGATTTACGAGTCACGGGAGGCGTCCCCATATCGGGATGACTCCCATTCTGTTGTCTCTGCCCCTGTCTCAAAGGATGAAACATCCAAGTCAAAGTCCAAGAAGTCTACGAGGAGTGGTGATGACTTTGGTATCATTGACTACTCGGAGTCGGTGGTTCCTGAGTCTCGTGATGATTCTTTCTCTATTGTCTCTGCTCCTGTGTCGAAGGACGAGACATCTAAGTCCAAGTCCCGCAAATCCCGACGAAGCGGCGACGACTTCGAAATCTACGAGTCACGCGAACCCTCTGAATCTCGGGATGACATCCGCTCGGTTACTTCTACTCCTGCTGGCAACGAGTACGAGTCGTCCAAGCCAGGAAAATCGAGATGCAGTGGGGATGACTACGATATTCCTAGATCGCGAGGGATCTCCGAGTCTCATGACGATAGCTGGTCTGTCTTCTCTGCACCTGTGTCGAAAGATGAGACTAGCAAATCCCGTCAGTCTCGACGCAGCGGAGATGACTTTGATATATCCGCATCGCCGGATGTATCCGAGTCGCGTGATGAGTCTCGTTCCGTAGTCTCTGAATCAGCAAAGTCTAGAAAGTCTCGTCGCAGCGGCGACGATTTCGATCCACGTCGCGACGCTGAGGCTGTTCCTGACGAAGAACGTGGCGAGGAGAAGAAGAGACGGCGCAAGCGTCGATCCAAGCATGAAAATGACCCTTTCTCTGTTGAGGATGATGCCCGCTCTGCCATTACGGACATTGGAGACGACAAGTCTGAGCCCCGTAAGCATCGGCACCGCTCATCCCGGGAAGCCGAATTTGATGACAATGCCTCTATAACCTCTTCTCCAGCTCGGATTGACGAATCCCGGGAGAAGCGCCGAGGCAAGGACGAGAAAGAAAAGAGCGGTGGCTTTTTGAGAAGTATTTTTGGCTCGCAGGTATCGGCTCCAGCTGAGCGTGTTCGGTCTGACCATTCTCGCTCTTCCTCGCTGGACAAGCGATCATCCCGCGAAGCCATATCTGATGCTGGTGTGGACGATGAACGCCGCCGTCATAAGAAGCGTTCTTCCAAACACCGCAGCTCCAGCAATGGAGATGAATTGGATCGCTACATGTCGGACAAGGAGAAGGGTCAGGATGACCCAAATCTGGAGGAGTACAGGTCCAGTAGACAGCAAAAGGAAGAGCGGCGTCGTCATCGGTACGAGGAAATCGTGGATTCAGGAAGGAAACGGGAATCTGAGAAGGTATAGCATCTGAACTTTCTTTTACTTACTTATGTTGTGATTTTGGTTGTACACTTTATTGTGCCATATAGTTTCCCTTTTTCGCTGGTTGATCTAACCAGCTTGCACAAAAACCACAAAACTCGAACAAAAAAAGAAATGTACTAAGCTTTTATTGGTTTTATTCTGTGCAGGACTATAGTGACAACTTCGACGAAGAATCTTTCTTAAGGGAGCGCCCTGAAATTCTAGCAGAGCGCGAAAATTATGCTTCGTGGCTTCCAGCATCAGCGGATAGCGCAGCCGCACTCGTTGCAACATCGGGACTGAATGAGATTTTGCAGAGGCCCCGGAGCCACTCAGCCTCCCCCCAGCCACAGAGAAGACACTTGACTTGACCCCGAAGTCTCTGAGCCGCCCCGCTTCACCTGAAACAAGCCACCCCCAGGGGTCCCGATCCCCCAAGCAACGCCGACACTCCGTGGCCAAGTCCACTATCGAATCACCCACTGCCGTGCCTCTCCACTTCCGTCGGCCCCCAACTTCCCCAGGCCTCTCGCGCGCAGTCCCCGTTGAACAACCCGCCCCCATCGCCTCCCCCGGCTCCCCGACCCAGCAACGCAACCGCCGGCCCGCGTCATCCGAGTTCCGAAACTCGCGCGAGATCCGCCCTCTATGGCTTGTCGAGCGCCATGGTCTGACCAAGGGCGAGCCCGAGGCCGCGGATCTCTTGCCATCGCTTCCATCCAGCAAGAACTCCTCCCGCGTGCCGTCAGTAGAGGACCTAAAATCCTTGCGCGACGACGACGGCATTAGAAGCTGGGAGCATGTAGACCTGAGCCACTCAATTATGGAGAACCAGAGGCCGACCGGTCTGACCATTTCCACTGACCATGCAAATGAAAGCCATAATAGAGACCTTGATCTCCTCGGCTCGCAGCACCCCACGCCTATCGCTGAACACTTCCAAGACGGCGAGTCCAGGAAAGAGAGGCCCAGGTACGAATTCCACTCTCCCTCTGAGCTCCTGCGGGACCCAGCTGTTCTAGACGAGTTGCCTCCTTCACCCACGCTGGACGCTCTCCCTTCTGCAGAGGGCTCCATGGTTGGCGTTGGCTCCAGGGAGCAAGAAACACAGCGTGCTCTCGACGCTCTCGAGGGTGTGTCCCGTCCTCATCACGAACCTGAAACCCCGACCCAAGAGAAGAGTTCGTTCTTCAGCGGCGCTGCGGATTTGGCCAAGGGCGCTGGCTTTGCCGGTGTTGTCGGTGCAGCTGCCATTGAGGCTACCAGGGACCACGACGAGTCTCGCTCCTTGCCTGCAGATGAGTCCACTAAGGACCACGGCTTTAGCAATGTTGTCGATGCAGAGGTTGCCGCTGCCGGTTCCTATCACGACCATGACAAGGCAAGTGTCAATGAGGAAGCGCTTAATGAGCCCGTTATTTCCATGGATGAGAATGCTCCCGCTGCGCTTGAGTCTGTGCACCCAGAGACGGACACAGCCAGGGGATTTGTTCCTGAATTGACTGAGCAGCATGTTGAGACTTCTGAGCTTCAAACTCAGCCCGACATAGATGCCGCTGCCGATGAAGGTGCGGCTACCCAGTCCTCTAAGAAGAAAAACAAGAAGAAGAAGGGCAAGAAGAACCAGGCCCAAAATGTGGATCTCGAAGCCCCCGAGGAACCGCTCACGCAGGAAGATTTGGCAAAGGAGTTGGTACAGGACTCTGCTGTTGACGCGCCTGTAGTCAAAGCTATTTCTGAAGAGCCCGAGCTTGCTGTCCCTGAGCAATCCGGGCCCGAGCTTGAGAATGTTGAGGCATCCCGCGAGCTTGGACCCGATCCTGTGGTAGAAGCTGCTCCTATTGAGTCCGTACCTATCGAGAGCGCTTCGGTCGAGCCCGTGGTTGCTGTTCCTGAAAAATCTGAGCCCGAGCCCATCGAGGCTGTTCGTGAGCTTGAGTTCGAGCCTTTGGTTGCAGCAACTGAAGAACCAGACTCTGTCACTGCTCCTGACTCCGAACCTACTCAGGTGAAGCCTACTGACACCGAACAGGCTGAGGACACTGCATCGTCAACTAAAAAGGCCAAACGCGACAAGAAGAAGCAGAAGAAGAAGTCTAGAAACGCATCTACTAGTGAAGAGCCTGCAGATGACACCCTCGTTGCTCAGCCTCAGGATGATACCTCTGACTCTAAGGAGATTCAGGGCTCACAAGAAGACAAAATATCTGCGTCTACGGACGAGATTGTTGCTGCTCACTTGCCCGAGGACATTGCTACTTCTACTGAACTCCCCGAGAGCACCTCTGATCAGCCTGTGATCCCATCTGCTGCCACTGATATAGAGCAAGCTCCAAGTCAGCAGCAATCCGGAGAGCTGGCTCAGCCTATGGAACATGTATCTACTGAAGAATCCGTTCTACCTGTTTCCGAAGATCGCAGTCTACCCGTTCGGGAAGAGCCGACCCCAGACCCTGTTTTCACTGATGCCCACGAAACCCAAACTCCGGGTGCGAATCAACCAGAAGCAGAGGAACTATCCCGCAGCTTCGAAGAGATTGAGAAGCCAACTGAAGAGTCTGCTCCAGAGGCCCCTCTCGATTACACCACCCCCAAAAGTCCTGAAACACCCAAAGAAGACACCGAAGGCGAAGACAACTTCGAAGAGGCTGTCGAGGAACAGATTCCACGGCCCACCGAAGAGAAGAATGTGCCTGTACCTGAGCCTGCCATCGAAGTGGCTGCAGATTCCCCCGCAGAAGCTTCGGAAACAAAGGTGGAGAAGCGGAAAAACAAGAAAAAGAAGAATCGCAAATCCACGGCCGTCGAAGAACCTGAGATTTCCGCTGAAACGCCCGCTCCCAAAACCGAATCCCAGCCAGAAAGCAAAGAGCTCGAACCTGAGCAATCAGCTGTTGTCGATCCTGCGGATACCCAATCCCCTTCGATTGGCGGTGAAGCCTTACCTTCTGATTTTGAACATCTTGAACAGCCAGCCAAGGATGTCGACCAACCCTTTGAAACCACCGTTGAAGGGCCTGCAGCTACCCAAGAGCAGGAGCAAGTCCCATTGGAGGCTGATGTGGATGTAACACCTGTCGCGACCGAGCCAGTGGGACCCACGGGGCCATCCGATGGACTGTCAGGGCCAGCTGTCGTCGAGGATCATCCTAACGCTGAATTCCCGGATCTTGCTGAGGATGCTTCTCGTGAAATCCCAGAGCCTTCTGCTATTGAGACTCAACCCGAACCTGAAGCCGAGCCTGAAGTCGTTTTGACGGCGGCCCAGAAGAAAAAGGCCAAGAAGAATAAAAAGAAGGGCAAGCAGAGTGAATCTTCTATTTCTTACGACGAGAAGCCTGCTGAGTCTACTTCGCCGGCACCTGAAATTGAGACCGCCGCCGAAGATAAAGATATAGCCAAGGAAACCCCTCTTATCACCGAAGACGCATCGGTGGATGCACCTCAGCAAGTAAGCGAGATGGAGCTGCCCGTTGAGGTCAAACAATTGCCCGACCCCGAGCAACTTCCTGGGCTTGAACAAATTTCTGAGGCTGTACCGATCCAGGAAGAACCATCTCCTGGCCCTCTTCCGGAACCAATGACAGAACCCAAGGAAGACCCCATCGCACAAGAGGAGCAGGCCAAAACCGAAGAATCTCTTGCCGAGCCAGAGGTCCTTATGACCGCTGCGGAGAGGAAGAAGGCCAAGAGGGCGAAGAAGAAGCAGCAGCAAAAGGAGCAAGAAGACAGCATTGTCTCTGTTCCTGGAGACATCCAGCCCGTTGAGATTGTGCCTACGCCCGATGTCGAAGCCGCCGAGCCAAGCAAGGACATTGCGCCTGCCGTGGAAGTTGATCATGTTGCTGTTGCTCCAGCGGACTTCTCAGCAGCTGTGCCTTCCGAGCCTGCCAAGACTGAACCGGATGTTGTGCTTACATCTGAAAACGAGCCCGAGGCCGCTCTGGTCACTGAAGATACTCTTCTCCGTCTCAATACTGAGGCCATTGAGCCAACAAAAGATATCGATCCTCTTGCTGAAGCCGAGCTCCCGGTAGAAGACGCTGCCCCATCGTCTCAGATTGAGGCCACCGAAGCTATCGCCGATGCTCCACTTGTATTAGAAGAAGTTGCCGCTCCTGCCAAAGAGGACGATGCCTTGAAGGCAGAGGAGCCGAATATCAAGGATGCGACCCCTGTGATGACAGAAGAACCCTCGGTTGACGCTCCAGAGGTTGATGCCCCCAAAGCACAAGAACAATCTCCTGAACCCGAGGTTCCAATGACTGCCGCCGAGAGGAGGAAGGCTAAGAAAAACAAGAAGAAGCAACAGAAGCAAGATTCCATGCAGCTTGACGAGCAGCCCACGCATGAGACTGACCCTACTTCTACGGAGGAAAAGAGTGGTGATATTTTACCCGAGAGTGAAGCCTCTCCCATTGGTGAAGCTATTGTGGGTGTCGATGAGCCCTCTAAATCCGAGGCAGCGCGCGATCCTGAAGTCGAGACAAAGGCTGAACAGGAACAATCTCAGGATGTGGCAATTCTCGACTCCGGACTTGCCCCCGAGGCACCCGCAGACGAGACTATTTCTACCTCGGAGATTGCTGAACAAGCTGTTGATCTTCAGGACGAGGACAAGGAAACCGCCCCAGAGCCTACAGTTGAAGTTGCTTCCACGGAAGAGCCCCAAGAAGAACAAAAGCTTGATTTGGCCATCAGCGAGGAGCCTGCCTTAGACAAGCCCCTCGATGAGAAACCCGCAGAGTCTGCGCCAGAGTCAGTTGTGGAGGAAATTAAGCCTGTGGAGTCCACAGCAAGTCCAGTGGCGGAGCAGGCTGAAGATGAACAGTCGGCAACTTCTTCGAAGTCAAAGAAGAAGAAGAAGAACAAGAAGAATCGCCAATCAGTTGCTGCCGAAGAAGATCAGCTTGCACCCGCTGAGGAGGAGTCCAGGCTTGTCCCCGCCGAGGAAGAGGTTAAGCTTGCACCCGCCGAAGAAGAGCATACACCTGTGCTTACTAAGAGTGAATCCATCGAACCCGCCCCATCTCAAGATCCCGAACAGCCATCTCCTAGTAAAGATGCGGAGACTGCTATTGTGACGGAAGAGGCGCCTGAGGCCGACGACCCCTCTTCGGAAGAGACCACACAGCTAGAGGCCCCTGCCGATGCACCTGTCGACGCCACCGAGGCCGCTGAAGAGGCATCGATGACTCCTGCTCAGAAGCGGAAGGCTAAGAAGGATAAGAAAAAGCGCCAATCAGGTTCTGCTCCAGAGGAGTCTACGGCCGTTCCCGCTGAAGAAGAGCCTACACCTATGCCCACTGAAAGTGAATCCATCAAATCCGCGGCACCTCAAGAGGTTGAACAACCTTCTTTCGATGAGGATGCAGATACCCCTATTGTGACAGAAGAGGCCCTTAAGGCTGATGATGCCTCCATAGAAGAGACTTCGCAACCAGAGGCCTCTGCCGATGCAGCCACTACTGAGGCCGCCGAGGAGGCATCGATGACGCCTGCTCAGAAACGGAAGGCTAAGAAAGACAAGAAAAAGCGCCAGTCAGCTGCAGTTGAAGAGGAGCAACCTACACCTGCCGAGAAGGAGTCTAAGGCAGTTCCCGCCGAGAAAGATGTTCAGTTTGCACCCGCCGAAGACGAACCTACACCTGTGCCTGCTGAGGCTGAATTCACCGAACCAGCGCCATCTCAAGAGGCTGAGCAGCCTTCTCCCAATCAAACCGCGGATACCCCTATTGTGACGGAAGAGGCGCCTAAGGCCGATACCTCCATAGAACAGACTTCGCAGCCAGAGGCCTCTGCTAATGCAGCCGCCACCGAAGCCGCTGAAGAGGCATCAATGACACCTGCCCAGAAACGGAAGGCCAAGAAAGATAAGAAAAAGCGCCAATCTGTTGTTGCCGAAGAGGAACAGTCCGTGCCTCTTGAGGAGGCCAAGCCTGAATCAGCCGAGGAAGAGGTCAAACCTACACCAGCCGAAGAGGAGCCCATGCCTGAATCCGCACAGAGAGAGCTCCTTGAGCCTATCTCGGCACCGGAAACCGAACAGTTCACTGTTGACAAAGATGCGCAGCCTCCTATTATGGTAGAAGAAGCGCCCAAGGCCGATGAACCCTCTCTCGAAGAGACTTCTCAGCCAGAGGCGTCTGCCGATGTACCCGTCGATGCAGCCGCCACCGAGGCCGCTGAAGAGGCCTTAATGACTCCTGCTCAGAAGCGGAAGGCCAAGAAAGATAAGAAAAAGCGCCAATCAGTTGTTGCCGAGGAGGAACAGGCTGCACCCGCTGAGGAGGAGTCTAAGGTTGTCCCCGCTCCGGAAGAGCCCACTGAGCCTGAGTCGACTCAGCAAACAGAACAACTAGCCGTCGACAAAGATGCGCAGCCTCCTATTATGACAGAAGAAACGCCCAAGGCCGATGAACCCTCTCTCGAAGAGACTTCTCAGCCAGAGGCGTCTGCCGATGTACCCGTCGATGCAGCCGCCACCGAGGCCGCTGAAGAGGCCTTAATGACTCCTGCTCAGAAGCGGAAGGCCAAGAAAGATAAGAAAAAGCGCCAATCAGTTGTTGCCGAGGAGGAACAGGCTGCACCCGCTGAGGAGGAGTCTAAGGTTGTCCCCGCTCCGGAAGAGCCCACTGAGCCTGAGTCGACTCAGGAAACAGAACAACCAGCCGTCGACAAAGATGCGCAGCCTCCTATTATGACAGAAGAAACGCCCAAGGCCGATGAGCCCCCTATGGAAGAGGTCAAACGGCAGGATGCCCCTGCTGATACAGCTGTTACCGAGCTTGCTGTGGAGGAGACAATGACTGCCGCACAGAAAAAGAAGGCCAAGAAGGACAAGAAAAAGCAACGCAAGTCTGTTGCTTTTGACGATGATGTCACCCCGGCCGAAGAGCTGCACCCAGAGCAAGATTCCCCTGCACCTGAAGACAAGGTTGAATCTCAAGATGCTCCAGTTGAGCTGGTTACTTCCGAAGAATCAGCCAAGGAGTTGCCATCGACTGAAGGAGTCCCCGAGCCTGCTGCTGAAAGGGAAGTTTTGGAGACAACAGAAGAACCCATTTCCTCGGAACAAAATAAGGAGATCACCGAGCACGAGCTAGCCTCCACTGCTGCTCCCGGTAGCATTCCAGCTGAAGTCGAGGAGACAAAGTCCGCAGCGCAGTTGCTGGAGCAGCCGGAACAAGAGGCCCAGACTCCCTCAGAGCCCCAGTCGCCCAGTGCACAAGAGCCCGAAGTTGCCTTGACTGCGGCGCAAAAGAAGAAGGCGAAGAAGAATAAGAAGAAGGGCAAGTCTGTGGACTTAGCCGACAACGCCCCTGCTGCCATAGACGCAGCGCAAGAATCTGACCCTAAATCTGAGCCCATTATTCAAACTTCGACTGATGCTCCGGCTGAAGCTCTAGAGTTGCAAGATAATTTATCCCCTGAGCCAGCACAGCCCGCAGAAGTTCTGGAGCAAGAAAATACGATCGAGCCCGGGGCTTCCAAGGCGGAGGAACTCGAGACAACAGGAACCGTATCCGACGATGTGCCAAAAGAGGAAACTCCTCGTGTCAAGGAGACCGACAATGAACCACCGGCCACCGAAGCGATTGCCTCTTCTCCTGCCGAGCCGACCGAAGAAGAAGCTGGCATGTCCGCTAAGGAGCGACGCAAAGCTGCTAAGAAAGCGAAGAAACGCCAGTCCAAGAATGTCGACGCCGAAAACGACGCTACAACATCCGATTCGCCTTCTGCCCTGGCGACCGTGCCTGCTACACCCATTGAAGCAGCCAATAGCGTCGAAAAAGTCCTCACCTCCACGGACACAGACGCCCCTGGACTTTCAGCCGTACCGGCGTCCTCGCCTGCGGAACATGACGGTAAAGAACATCAGTCCCACGCCATAGAAACTTACGACGCCACGGCGCAAGATACGGCCTCGACTGATAAATACATGTCTTCGCAGGTAGAGCAGATGCCGATAGAGAGTCCTTTTTTAGATTATCCTCCCCAGCCCGTGCTTGAGCGTTCAGTTGATTCCGGCGAGTTGGTGGAGGGAAATTCTCAGCAGGAGGGTGATGTCGCCTCAACTGCACAGGAGCCAGAGGGGGAGTTGGTTGAGCCTGCATCCCTTGAGCAGATAAAGACAGTTGGTGATGGTGAGAATGTTGAGGAGGAATCGTCTGTGCCGGAAGCAGACGATCTCTCCGCGGAGAAGATTGAAGAGATGCCTGTGGCTGTGCCGATTGATGTTATCACAGAGGCACAGATACAAGGATCTCATGTGGAGGAGGCTTCTGAGATAACTGTCTCGAAGAAGCAGAAGAAGAAGAAAAACAAAAACATAAACAAAAACCAAGAGGAAGCTGTGGCACCTGACCCAGAAAACTCCACTACAGAGGAAAAGGAGCAAACTGAAGCTGTGCCTTTGGTTGAGGCCGAGCCCCAGCTGGAGGTAAAGGAACTCACTGAACCTGAGCCTATTGCCGAGGCCGAACCAGTGCTAGTTCCAGAGGAGCAACCGGCAGATTATCCACACGGCATTGAAGAGACCGCCGCTGTCCAGACAATCGAGGACATTGATGACACCAAAGAGAACAATGTCGCGGAAGTTGAGGCCGTTGCCCCTCCCACTGAAGAGTTAGAAACAGCCGCTGTTCCAAGGAAGAAGAGTAAGAAGGACAAGAAGAAGCAACGCCAATCAATTCTTGCTCAAGAACCCGAGGCTGAGCCCCAGCCTGAGGAACAGCCAGCACGTGAGGTGGCTGAAACTTCTGTCCAAGAGGCTGAGACTGCAACGGAGTCAGCGCCTATCGAGATTGTTACGCAAGATGAGCTTGTCACCAGGGCAGAAGAGTCTACAGTGCAGCCTGTTGATGCCATCGAGGACGCCGCCAAGGATCTTGTAACGCCTTCTCAAGACACCGAACACCATGTTCCAGTCCAAGAAATTGAAAGCGGAGAGCGCTCCTCTGAACTTCCATCCACTGAATCGAAGATCGAGGAAGAAGACAAGCCGGTCGAGGAAGCCGCCGAAACCGCAGCAGAGATCCCAGATGACAAGCAACCTAGCGAACAAGCGCCGCCTGAAGCCTCCCCTAAGCCCGAAGGGGAATCGGCGACTGTCCCCAAGAAGATGAGCAAGAAAGAGAAGAAGAGGGCCGCCGCCGCCGCCCTTCTGGAGGAAAAAAAACTCGTTGAGTCACAGCCTGAAACCGGGGAGCCCTCGACTATTACTCCTCAAGCTATAAAGGAAGCGGTGGAGCAGACTATCATTCAAGAGCCGCTGCCTTCAGAGACCGAAGGCAGCCCTCAATCTGAGGCAGAGAGAAGCCTAGACGAAACGACAGGATTGACAACTTCCGAGCCGAAGAAAGATGTCCTAGAGCAGCCTACTGAGGCTCCCAAGTCCACCGAGCCTCTTGAATTTGGGGACAAACCGGAGGAGTCTATAAAAGAGCTAGCTGGTGAGCCAGCTGCGGTCGATACTATTACTCGGAAAATGTCAAAGAAGGACAAGAAAAGAGCCAAAAAACAAGGGAAGCAAGAAGTCATTGAGCTGGCTTCCCCTCTGACCAAGGACCATATCCCTACCACCGAGCCTGCAACTGCAGAGGTTGCCCCTGAACCGGAGGCAACTATTAAGGATACCCCAATAGAGCTTGTTCCTACTGCCGAGCCCGCGACTACGGAGGCTGCTATTGAGCTGGAGGCGACTCCTGATGAGACCCCAACTGAGACTGCTGAGCCTGAGTCCATTGGCCGGGAGGAAATTCAGGACGCTCCTAAGCCCGAGCCTGAAAGCATTGAGACGCCAGCTCTTGGTGGATTTGGCATTGTATCGGAAGACAAGCGACCTCCAGAAAGAGAAAAAAATGAAGCAGTCGTCTTTCTGGACACACTCGATACGCCATCACCCACAGAATCCACTGGCCAAGACACCAACAGTGAGCCCCTTGACCTCGAGGGTCCTGCCGAGAAGAAGGCCACGGGAGGCGAGGCCCAAGTTCGGGCCGATGCACGGGACCTTGAGAAAACAGCTGATCTCGAGGTCGTCGAGGGCCTCATTGAGGACCAACCTGGAGAACCTGAAGTGCCGCCGGCTCTGTCCAAGAAAATGTCAAAGAAGGACAAGCGCAGGGCCAAGAAGAATGCCGGAGTCACCGAAGAAGTCTCGACTCAACAACCAGAAGAGACTCAAGCTGATGTGGCTGAGTTGCCGACAGAATCCGAGATCCACCAGACAGAGGCTACTGTGGAGCAAGAGATCCCCAAGGAACCTGAACATGCTGCAGAGCCTCAGCCTACATTGGAGCGAGAGTTGCCAATTGAGGACCCCCTTCCTATTGAGGATCAGCCTATACCCGAGCCAGAAGTTCAGGTTGAGCCTACACAACCCGACGAAGAACCTGTTGTCGGCGAGGGACTTCCGCTTTCACGCAAGGCCTCGAAGAAGGCCAAGAAGGCTCAAAAAGCCAACAAATCCCTGGATATTGAGCTTCCGGCTCAAAACACGATTGACGCAGATCAGCATGCTACCATTGTGCCATTCGAAGATGACCACTCAAAGGCACCAGTCACAGAAATTCCAGACGAGAATTTGCCCCATGACGAAGAAGACTGGCCGGCAATTGATTGGCAGGCCAAGTTCGAAGAGTCCCAGAGATTAAGAGAAGCGGAGCCTGAGCCTGAGCCGGAAGTTCCACCTCCCGAGCCGGAGATTATTGGAGAATTTGTTGAATCTTCATTCCCCGAGGTCTTGGAAGAGGCAGATGAAGCTGCGGAGGAAGAATCTTGGGCTTTGCGGAGCAAAAAAGACAAGAAGAAGGCCAAGAAGAACAAGAAGCAGTCACAACAAGCTGCCCCGGGACCCGAGGAGCCTTCACTGGAACCCTTGAATGACAAAGAGATCGAACCGCCTGCTCGAACAACTACTCCCGGTGGATCTAAGATTGCCAACTTATTTCCCGGCCTGGAGCGTGGGGGATTTCGGCGATCGGCTTTGGACCAGCCAACACCGTCGCTAAAAGATAGTGCTGAGGATGAGACAACAACAGAGTTGGAAGCGAATCGAGATATCGCGATCCCTGTCTCGGAAGCACCCCTAGCGACCACTGAAATCAAAGAAATCCCCCAAGGTTTTGCTTCTGAGCTGCCCAGCAGCCTTGAAAGACAAATTGAGGCAACAATCTCGGAACTGAACGGTCACTCCGAACCTCCTACTGCTACGGAAAATGAATCAATTAGGGAGCCAGACCATCCGACGCAAGGCGAAAAGTCCTTGGATGCCCCATTATCGTTGTCAATGGAGCCCTTCAATGAACGGACTCGTACTGAGGAGCCTTCTTCTCCTACGCGTCTTCCACCCCGGACAGAAGGAGAGGAACTGTGTGAACTACGCCGATCACCCTCAATCCATGGACGGCACCAGCATCCTCCCCGAACATGGAGTTTGGATGAACCTTCTCTACCAGCTCTTGCCCCATCGCCTCCTCGATCGCTCTTCGGACCGATTGACGATGTGCGACCTCGGACACCGCTTGATACAATTGCGGAACAAGAACCACGGGATGTTCAGGGAGGGACGGCTCGTCGCGGGACTCCCCGTCTGGAAATGAAGCCCGAACATGTCTTACCTCGACCTCAAACACCGGTCCGGAAATTTACAGACAATGCCTTTGATCGAGAAGCTTGGCCTACAGAAAAGGATTCCAAAGAAATTCTCACACCCGAAGGGCCAATTCTAAAGCCAAGCACCAGCAGTGGAAAATTACGTCGTACAAATCGCAGTATTAGTGGCGATCTGCGGGCGGCTAGTCGAGCACTAGATTCCCAGCCTTCGAATCTCGATCTCGATCAGCTCCCGTCTTCCTCCTCTTATGACCCCGTCACCGACAAGGGCAAACGTCCGCTGCGAAATATGTCGGATGTCTATGTAAGTTGATTAATTTATTTTCCTTTTGTCATTGTTTTGTTTTTGTTTACTAACTTCCGCAGGAGGGATGGGGTGAGACGCCCAATTCCCCACGGTCGCCCAGCCGACCGCCTAGTGTCCGTCGTCGTCGCAGCATGCAACACTTGCAAGACATCGAAACCCGGCTCGATCAGCTCATCTCCGAGAACCGTCTACTGATCGCCGCCCGCGATGAAGCCGAACATAAGCTTAAGAATTCCAGCGTCGCTCGTCGAAAGAGCGACCGTGCGCTCAACACCCGCGACGGCGATCTGCGCGATCGGGAATCAGAGGTGGAACAATTGAAGAACTCAGTGGAATGGCTGCAGAAGGAGACGACTCGCCTGACCCAAGAGAACGAGGGCCTGACCGCATCCAACTCTGCTCTCGCCGCCGCGCACGCCGCCGAGGTCAACACCGTGCGCGAGTCGTCCACACGCGAACTGGCCGAGTTACAGTCGCAACACGCTCAACTATCGTCCCAGATGGAGGATCGTGTTCGACAAGAGATTGAGTCGGCTCTTGCGCAAAAAGATATTGAATTGCGCCGTCTGCGCACCGAACTTGAGGAGGCTCGTGATAAGGTGAAGGAGCTCCAACAACAAATCGCAGCCTCGGTACATGACAATGCCCTTGTCTTCCGTGATGAAGAGTACTTTGATGCTGCCTGCCAGAAACTATGTGGCCATGTCCAATCTTGGGTCGTACGCTTTTCCAAGCACAATGATAAGCGTCGCTGTCGCCCACTCAGTGAGTTGCAGGACGAAAAGATCGCAGACCGATTCGATAATGCCCTTCTCGACGGCTCCGATCCCGATGCCTACCTATCCGATCGTGTCCGCCGCCGCGATGTCTTTATGTCGGTGGTCATGACGATGGTCTGGGAATACATCTTCACCCGTTATCTCTTTGGCATGGATCGAGAGCAGCGTCAAAAGCTCAAGTCTCTTGAGAAACAATTGGGCGAGGTGGGCCCAACCCGTGCTGTGCATCGCTGGCGAGCCACCACTCTCACACTACTGTCCCGCCGACCAGCCTTTGCTGCACAACGTGAGAGCGATACGGAGGCTGTTACTCTAGAGGTCTTCCAAACCCTATCACGGGTCCTCCCTCCTCCGTCTCATGTTGAATCCCAGCTCCTGGATAATCTCCGTAAGATCATGCGGGTAGCAGTCAGTCTGTCCTTGGAGATGCGCACCCAGCTGGCTGAATTCATCATGCTGCCGCCTCTGCAGCCTGAATATGATACCAATGGTGACCTTGCACGCCAAGTGTACTTCAACGCAGCCCTGATGAATGAGCGCAGTGGTCTGACAAACGACAACGGCGAGCTCGAAGCTCAACAGTCCATTGTGCGCATTGTGCTCTTCCCTCTTGTTGTCAAAAAGGGCAATGATGTGGGCGAGGGTGAGGACGAGGTTGTCGTCTGCCCGGCCCAAGTCCTCATTGCCCGCCCCAGCAAAGACAAGAAAGTATCAAGGATGATGAGCGGCGACCGCATGTCCATCGATGCTTCCAAGTCGGTCCACAGTATTGCTCACAGTGTGGCACCGTCATCTATGATGGACATGAGCAATGTGATCTGAGGCGTCACACTCCGATCATGATTGCTCCCATCTTATACATGCGTGCTTGCGGCATCCTTGCTCTTATTGTCTATTTTTTGCTTTTCTTCTCTCAGTTGGTGATATGGCGTCAAGGTCAATTAACGTAACGGTCATTGCAAGGTCGATGACCGTGAATATGTGGAGTTATTTGTTTTATGTTTCTGTTGCTATTTGATTTCCCGTGTTCTTTCTAAGACAGTGTATCAGCGTGTGTATTTACCATGGCATTGATGTCTTATGAAGTGATGACCTGTACTACTTCCATGGCAATGTAATAATCTATTTCAATTTTATTATTTCTATTGACTTATCTCTTGCAATGCACCTTGGCCCCCGGCTGAGATTGTAATACTATTTTTTACAAGAAGCAGGGTGCAAGATAACTGTCGTGATGGTTCCAAAACCATGTACACATGGTTCGATGTTCGCGCATCTGTTCACTCCTATGCCTTTGTGTTTTTGTCTTCTTTTGTCAGATATAAATAGTTAACTAGCTATCCTTTGCTCCAGTGCCTTGGTTTTCAAGTCGCACCTATGTATATTAGCTAATCTCCGTTCGCTCTCTTTCCCCGTACATTGATACGCCCATTAGCACAGTCGAAAGCACCACTACCACTGCTTCATCTCGCGCAATCAAGTGGGTCATGCCCTAGCCGAGAAAGCTGTTCTGGCGCGAATAAATGACCCTTTTATTGTTCCTCCAAAGTTTACATTTCAATCAGAATCCAAACTTTACTTTGTTCTTTTTGTTAGATTACTGCGAATATGAATTAAGCATTTGAAGCCAACTGATCCAAAAATACAAAGTATTCCTAACGATTATATAGCTCGCTCACTCGGGTACAGCTCCGGATACAACCTCAACTACTTCTTCAAGGCAATATTTTTGAACTCGGCCGTGGTGTCCCTGATTGCTACTTCAACAGGCAGTCGCTCCATTGAACTGGCCCCATAGAAGCCATGCAACCCCTGTACCCTTTCCAACACGAACTTTGCATCTTCTGGAGCAGCAATAGGCCCACCGTGACACAGCACAATGACATCCTTATTGATCCGCACTGCCGCATCCCGCATTGCCTGGATCTCCTCAACACATTGTTCCAACGTCTTTCCGGTCTTTGCCCCAATCAGCCCGGAAGTAGTCAGACCCATGTGTGCGACCAGGATATCCGCCCCAGCTTTTGTCATAGTCTCAGCATCCTCGACATTGAAAATATAAGGCGTCGTCAAAATATCCAACTCAGCCGCATGTCGCACCATCTCCACTTCTTTACCATACCCCATCCCAGTCTCCTCCAAGTTAGCACGGAAGTTGCCATCGATCAATCCCACCGTGGGGAAATTCTGAACACCAGCAAATCCCAATTCCCGCAGCTGCTTCAGGAACCGCGGGATGTCCTTGAATGGATCGGTACCGCAGACACCCGCAATCACGGGGATATTCTGAACGATAGGAATGACTTCGGCGGCCATTTCGACCACTACCTCGTTGGCGTTGCTGTACGGCATCAGTCCCGCGAGACTTCCACAACCCGCCATGCGGAAGCGACCGCTGTTGTATATAATGACTAAGTCTGCGCCGCCGGCCTCGACCGACTTTGCGGACAGACCGATGCCTGATGGCTTGTTAGTTAAACTGGTAGAGAAGGGGGGCAGGTGACATCAGATACGTACCCGCGCCGGCTCCAACGATGGGTTTCCCATCTTCAATTTGACGGCGTAGATTGGCGAGAATCTCACTGCGAGAGGTAGGTGGCGCCATAGTTGATGAAATGGAGGTAGTTGAATTAATTTATGCAAATCAAAGGAAAATATATTCTCTCGAAATTCCCAGTTATATGATTCTCGAGGCGGAGCGGATTTAAGGCGGAGACCAGGGTGGAACCTCCAGATTAGGACTAGCTCTATCTGTTATTACCCTTCCTAATCGGGACTATCTTGCTGTATTTCTGCTTACTCGTTTAGATCATTTATGTGTGCAAATCATTACTATGTAGTAACTATAAGTAATGTAATCTTCGATACGCTTTAGAACCTCGATCCATACGAGGCCCCAAGGTCCCACCGACACCCAATTAGGTCTAGTATCACTGATGGGACCTATGTCCTGACGGCGGAAGGCGGAGGGCGGAGATAGTGTCGCATCAGGATGTAGTTCCCATTGAATTCATAATCAGATCCCACTGGCCCCAGTCCATGTTCACCGGGTTGATCCATTGCTGGGGCTCAATCTGTCGAACCAGACTGGGGAAATCCACATTCTCCGAGGCGAATGTATGCCCATTCCTAAGGTCAACGGGCTGGCTGATGGGATTCTGGCTATTTGACTCGTCGCCTTGCGATACTGCACTGTGCAGACCATCCGGGGCCATGCCCGAGGTAGTCATCCACCTGCTTGATCTAGAGAATTGTCTGTCAGTTCTAACCAAAACACATGCCACGCGCGGCTAGGCGACTTACAGCATATGGCCAAGAATCGTTGCAGTCCGGGTGCACAGCTGACTTTGTGCCTTTGATGCCTCGAGCCGAGCATGGCATTCGTGTGCCAACCGTACCACATCCAATATACAGGATTCTTAGGGTTCTACAGAAAGGGCAAGCGCCAGGACGAACGCGGCGTGGAAAGCATGAAAAGCGCCCCGGCCACGAATATACCAGTAGAAGGGCTTGGATTGGGGTAGCTGGTGGAAGTCGGCATGTAGTTCCAAGACGCGCTGTGCACTTTTCATACACTGACGGTTCGACCAGCTATGCTGCAGCAGACGAAAGGTCCCTTCATTCAATATGATACTGTGGAGAATGAGAACTAGGTGATGGGCAGAACTGAGCAGTAGATTGGTATGAACAAATGATAAGTTACCACCAAGCATTAAGGCGTAGCTCTGCTCCAGTGGGTCCAACTCGGCTCGGATGGCCGCGTCCAGACGGTAGAGGGCTGTCGGGTCATCCGGCCCTGTAGTAAGAACGGGGTTACAGATCTCCGAAGATATTTGAAAGAGGCGCGATTTTTGAATCAGATACGAGACGGGGTTGATCCCTACCGAGGCTGCAATCGGTGCTGGCTGTCCCTGGACGATGTCCTTGTCCCACACCTCGGCTGGGGGCAGGACACGCCACGAGAACACTGATCGATAGATGTCTAACCCGGTAATGGCCATGTTTTGATTACAGAGCAGGGTGACCAGGCCTAACCAACAGCGGCGACGCTCCTCGGCTTCGACAATATCCAAGGAAAACGTGGCCGGGTCAACGTGACAATCATTAGTTGTGTCAGTAGGTGTGTCGCCAACTTACTATGAACGACAGAGATCTACGGAATCATCAGTGCTGGAGGCAGTGGAGGAACCAGTCTGATCTCCGCCGTAATGAGGACGGCTGCACCCATTGGCCTGCCTAAACTGATCGTCAGCACAGTCGCGTCCGGCAATACAGGGCCGATAGTGGGTGAGTGCGATATCACCCTGATGTACTCGGTCATAGATATCGCGGGCAATAACCGGCTCCTCCGCGAAGTGCTGGGGAATGCAGCTGGCGCTATGTTCGGCATGGCATCGACATATCAGCATAGGCTGAGTGAAAGCCGGACCCTGAGTGCGCAGGACAACCGGCCAGAAGAGACGAAGATTCGAGTCGGTATTACGATGTTCGGCGTGACCACCCCGTATGTGGATCATGTGAGACGTCACTTGGAAAACAGCTATTCTGTAGAGGTCTACGTGTTTCATGCGACTGGTCATGGGGGAAAGGCCATGGAACGATTGGTTGAGGAAGGCTGTCTAGACGCCATCTTGGATATCACAACGACGGAGATTTGTGATCTCATTGTGGGCGGGACTATGCGCTGTGAAACTAGCTGCCTGGAGACGACACTCAAGCGCGGAATACCCAATATCATTTCCGTTGGAGCCACGGATATGGTCAATTTTGGTCCGGTAGACACGGTACCACGCCAATTCCGTGACCGCAATTTGTTCGTCCATAATCCGAGCGTGACTCTGATACGAACCTCTGCAGCCGAATGTCGGGAAGTCGGGAATTTCATCCTCGACAAACTCTGGGCCGGTTTACCAGGACCCAGGTATGGTTGAGGTGTGGCTTCCTGGGGGAGGGGTGAGTAGCATTGGGACAATAGGGTCGGCATTTGCAGATACTGATGCCGATGCCGCCCTTACTGATACTCTACGTTCGGGGCTCAACGATGGCAAACTCCGAGTGGTATCAGATGAACGAGATATCAACGATGAGGGATTTGCGCTTGAAATTGCGGGTCGGCTTATGGCTCTTGTGGCAAAGCACTCGTCGACTTAGATGGGCCTGATGTTGGCTAATAGACAAGCAGTGTATGTATTGGCTAGGAATTTTGAATGTATCATTCTTCCTTATTTTCTGCTGGACAAAAGTTTGAGAGCTTAGTGCTATCAGAGACTGTATAGGTGCTCTTCAGCTTATCGCTGGAGTATTAAGGACCTTCTGTTTTTGCCTTTACTCTTTATTGATCTAAGAATAGAAGATATCCCTAACAACCCTGGAGGTTGCATTGTTCAACTAAATTTTATATAGTTGTGCTGACCTCATCCGTCCCGTTTTGGGAAAGGCCTCTAGACCTAACAGTCAGACTATCATCTACGGATTTCTCTTTGTAAAGGACTTTTGTACTGAACTTTTGTATTGCACTCTCCTTTCCTGTACCTTACTACAATTTGTTCTATATCTGAGCATTTCCAAGGTTACGATTTTCTTGGGGTTGTCTTGGGGTATTCCACTCTGGCTTTGCCACCCGCGTCATCCCCCTCTGAGCTGCAGCTCCTCCCTTCAGCGTCGACCATGCCGGTTTCCCCGGGATCATCAGCCCTAGTAATATCGTATGGAAATCTGGGTATATTGCATATTGCGAGTCTTGCCCTGTGATCCAGAACGAGAAGGTAGATCCAGAGCCCTGTTTGCGTTGCCCTAGCTCCATTGGCTGATGAGCTACTGAAAATTCTCCTCCACTTCAGTACAGTTGTTCAGTACTGGAGACACCTAGCCTCCCTCGCGACCCAATTATTGAAACTGTCACAATGGATCCGCCCATGAGCCCGACACCTAGCAGGGAGGCCTCCCGACCGCCTCGGTCCTCGCATTCGTCTGGCCCAAGAAAACGTTCACAACGCAGCGATTACCCACACTCTGCTGATAACAACGCTAGCTCTGGCCCAATGAGCGGCGGTCGGGCCCCAGGCACTGGTCCGGTATCCATCTCCACGACTACACCAGCCAACGAGACCCGCTTCGAATCCCCCGCTGATATTGCTGCTGGCAAACCCCCCAAGTCCTCCAAACGCAAAAAGAACCGCAATCGCAAACGTCGCAATCGACACCAGTCTTTTATTCCACCTCGTCGGGAGGAATCTCATGATAGTCCTGGGGAGATCCTAAGTGCTGGAGGTGTTAGAGATTCAATGGAGGCCGATCGGCCAATCTCGAGGGACAACCCATCCTTCTTCAAGTTGGGGCGCAATCTGAGTAACACAAGCTTGGAGAGCGATGCGCTACTAGATCACCGGTATGATCTCGTGATATTGAGCGATTTCGGAGCTTGAGATGAATACTAATTTTTCTTGTCGAGCAGGGACCAACCTTCAATGCGGCCCCGTCGTGACAGTCGCCTTGCATCGTCATTCCGCCCGAGCTCTCTAACATCTAATGTCTTCCGATCGAACGATGGGCAATCTCGCAGCACCCCGAGGGGAGGACGGAGCCAACAACATCATGATGATAGTGACGAAGAGGACGCCAATGACCGGACACCATTGATGCGGCCAGTTTCAGGCCACGCGTCCGGCCATAATCGATATGGAACAGATACTCGCCCGAGTTTGTTCTCATCGCGTGCTCGACAGTCTTCTGCTCAAACCATATCCTCGGGATGTTCGCCAAAGGACGATCGCAGCCCACTCTATTCTCCCACTGTAGAGCGAGACTACGATGTCAACAATCCACCGTCAACTCCTGGGTCTCCAAAAATGGGCCCAGAGATGAAGTACGACGATGCTGTTGTAACCGGAGCTGAGTGGGACTTCTCGCTGGCTCGGTCAATGGAGAATCGTAGGGACTCTTTGAACATTCTCAACGACACGCTGATTGACATAGACGGAAATGGACTACAGCCACACTCTGCGCCATCATCTGCACCTGGATCACCGATTCTGTCTCCACACCAAGAATTGCGGCGACGCCGGACCGTGGCATTGCCAGCAGAGGAAGACGTATGCTTCCCTACCGAAACGATATCCGAATTAGGAGACGAGGGACCAAGGCAAATGCGGGATGAAGCCGGCGATCGTCGACGGCGTAGACACCGACGATGGCCCGATCTCTCCGCACTGGAAGAATGGAGCCGCGAGGAGAAAGAGGAGCGCAATGGAGACATTCGAGTCAAAAGGATCAGTGAGCCTATGCTCATCGAAGGCCGGTTGCGCCCTCAGTATAAAGGTTGGCGACGGGAAGAGGATGAGGCACCCTACCGGTTCACATATTTCAACGAGGAATTCCCGAGCACCATTCATGCCCAAACCATCTCCGAGCTGGTGCAACCAGGTGGTACCTTCCGCGATTTGTTTATTCCAGATCCCCCCGAATTGGAGGATTCATCGGAAGACGAGGACACGGACGAGGAATCTTTTATGGAGAATCCAGTTTTCAATAACTTGACACATCCCGCCACCAAGCCAACGTCCCACACGGACATCCAAAGTCAAGGACAAGGCCATCAAACGAATGTCAACCCTCAGCTGACAGCTCAGACCGTTGTCCCTAATGGAAGGAGCACGAGTGACCTTAGCTCCGGCAATGTTCCTGTCAGAGGACCCTCACGTTTATCTGTCATCAGCGAAGGGCACCTAGACTCCCACCGAGAGTCATCGCCCGCACCTTCAAACACCCCGTTTAGCTCTACCCCCAACCCGAAACCAAAACGGTACGGTCCGCGGCCGACTTTCTGGCTAGACGTTCTCTCTCCGACGGACGCGGAGATGCGTACGATTGCTAAAGCGTTTGGGATCCACGCGCTGACGGCAGAGGACATTATGATGCAAGAAGCTCGAGAGAAAGTCGAGTTGTTCCGCAGCTACTATTTTGTCAACTACCGCACTTTTGAGCAGGATACCAACAGCGAGGACTATCTAGAGCCGGTGAACATGTACGTGGTGGTTTTCCGCGAAGGTGTGATATCTTTCCATTTCTCGCAAACACCGCACCCGGCCAATGTGCGGCGGCGTATCCGCCAACTGATGGATTACCTGATCCTCAGCTCGGACTGGATCTCATACGCACTGATCGATGACATTACCGACGTCTTCGGCCCGCTGATCCAAGCGATTGAAGATGAGGTCGATGAGATCGACGAGAAGATTATGCAGATGCATTCTTCCGGCAAGGAGGAGTCGTCCAATGACAGTGTGCTTCCTTCATTTGGACCAGGAGAGATGCTCCGGCGCGTGGGTGAATGCCGCAAGAAGGTCATGGGACTGTATCGACTTCTCAGCAACAAGGCCGATGTAGTCAAGGGCTTTGCCAAGCGTTGCAATGAGCAATGGGAGGTCGCACCCAAGTCCGAGATTGGTCTGTACCTAGGTGATATTCAGGATCACATTATGACGATGACGGGTAACCTAACGCATTACGAAACGTAAGCCTCTTTACTCCATATTCAAGGCTCTTTACGAAACGTTGCAACAATCGCTGACTGTGTCTTTCCAGAATCCTTTCCCGCGCGCACTCGAATTATCTCGCGCAGATCAACATTCTCATGAACGAGCGTCAGGAACATACTGCCGATGTCCTGGGTAAGCTGACTGTTCTTGGTACAATTGTCCTACCGATGAACATCATCTGCGGTATGTGGGGGATGAATGTCAAGGTACCGGGTCAGGAAATTGATAGCCTGACATGGTTCTGGTGCAGTAAGTCCTTCCTCTTTTCCCTGTTTTCCCTTTCCCCTTCCCTAACTATTGGCTAATACATCATAGTTACTGCCGGACTCTGCGTATTTGCATTTGTATCTGTTTGGATTGCTAAAAGAGTCTACAAAATTGTATAGACGTATTGTCCCTATTGTTGGTTTCTACTTAGTTTCAGCCGATTGGATCGATACCCAAGGTTTTGGTTTGGTTATTTGCTGTATTTTAAGGCGCTTGGGGGTTTTTCTTTTTGGTCTCTGACTGCTCTTGGGGTGTTTGGATTTGACGATATACGGTGCATGTTTCTTACATTTGGGAGGTTATCTGGGTCCACATATGACTATAGGTTAGATAGAACTGTATATTACAAACTGTTTGACACTATTCTAATATTAACTAGTTATCTAGTACATTCTAGTAATTTCTTACATAAGGTACTTGATTTTGTCCTTGTTACTGTGGCGTCCCGTGGAACATTTGAAAGAGTTGAAATGGGCCAAGTCCGAGATATCAGCAATACGAAGTCAAAGAAAGTCTGATGCTCTCCGGTATGAAGTCATTGTATTTCCCTTACATGAGTAATTAATTATTTCCTGCATCCTGCAAATTTTAGTACCATTTATTACCAATTTTGGCGTCACCAATCTGTCCATAACCCCCATCTCCCCCATCTCCCCTATATCCCCTACAAAATCCATCGTTTTCAATTCAACTCCCATTCTCCTTTTTTTATCAACTTCACATTCTTCCCCGTTTTTTTCCACTGGATTCTAGACCATCCGTGTTCCCTGCAGTGACCCCCCTTCTCGACGTGGGCCTTCGTCATTGGTCTTCGCCATCAACCTGACCCTCTCAGCCACTTTTCACCGAGGTTTTGGTCACCGACTTCTCTGCACCTTTGGCAGCTCAGACGCCACTACAGACGTAAAACCAGTCAAGCCAAAACGTTGAGCCGGATCGGCGGGTCTCCAGTTGCCCTAAATCCGCCAACCATATCCTACCATCTTCCGATTCCTTCGTTCTAGGCCTTGTTTTTGTCCTTCCGGAACAAAGCAAAAACGGCACAGTGATGCGTGGGCTCTTTGCGCTACACTGACCCCCGACCCACTTAGTTTTCTAAACAATCTCCATCTCTCTCCAGTTTCCCCAACCCCTGCACCTGCTGCAGCCCTTTTTCGCTTGTGCGTTTCTCTACAGAATCCGATTACCGGGCAACAGCATGTGGTCTTCGGCTATTCGTCCTGCTGTACCCTCACATGTGTAACGACCCGTATTCTGCGCAACATCTCATTCGATCCCCGTGATATTTTATTCGCTCTTACAATAACTCACTTCTTCACCGTCGAGCTTTCCCTAGCTAGGCGCCGT